TGAAATGTTATTATATATTTTAATATAGCGACAAATTGTCTCTGAGGTATCGGCATTATCATATGATAAGATACCTGGACCTTCGGCTTTACCGATCATTGGAACTCTTCATCATTTTCTTCCTGGCGGTAAGTGGTGGAAAATTTAACAAATATTAGGTAGTAATAAGATAATAATAAATTTTTGGTTAATGGCTAAACTGTTTTTCAATTTATCTAGCACATTTTTTTCACTTTTCAACATATATATGTATTCAATATATAAATTAATTTTTTCCTCTATCCTACCCTTGAATTTATTGATGGCGTTTTAGGTAAGTTAAGTGGTTTAAATATGCTTGACTTGGGCCTAAAATTATATGAAGATTATGGTGATATTGTCAAATTAAAAGGAATGCCAGGAAAAGAGGACATGGTCTTTGTGTACGACTTGGACGCCATCGAAAAAGTAAGGCTAAATGTTTTTAGATATAATTGTAAACCAATATTTATTCAAATGTTGACATAACTAATAAGGAAAAAATTCAAGTTGAGGCTGATCTTAGGTGGTTCTGCCTACTAGATCCCTGGAACTGTATAATTTGATTCATTGTATTAAATATCACCAATAAAAAATACTTCGTTCATTTTTGTCATAAGACTATCTTTGAAGTTGATTAATCTATCTATTGTTATATTACATATCTAAATTAATAATATAAATAAATGCAATATCAAATAAAATAACCTCATTATAAAGTTATAATACTATATATATAATTTATGGAACGATTCTCTCGCACAACAGACCAATGTTATGGCAAGGCTAAGTTCTGAAGAACTTTTTATTCTATACCAAATATTGGCAAAAGCCATGTGGATGCTGTGCAGTCAGGCGTTTTTCCAGGTTTTCATATAGAAAACCTAACATGGTCTTTCTGATCCTGCTTCATAACATGCAAGTGACGTTGGAATTTATGTGCAAAACGCCTGAATGCACAGCAGATACATGTCATTTTGACAATATTCAGTATGATTTAGTAGCATAATGTATGGAAGTTGGAGCGTAACATGGCCTTGCTATAACATTTGTCTGTTGTGCGGGAAAATCGGCCCATTGAAGTTACCGAAGCATTTAATTTGTAGATCCTATAAAGCCTTTTCTTGTTGATTATATTTTTAATTATCATTATCAAAGAACCATAAGAATCAAATTATTTGGACACTTGAAGTTTACTACGCATTGAATTCATCCAATGAAATTTTTTGTTCGATTCGGTAACGAATGATTTTATCCACATCAATATCAGAAAGTAATTTCCCTTATAGAATATTACATACATTGAAATTTTAATAGTATAAATTCTAGTATTATGTCCACTAATATAATAATTATATGAAAATTACATCAGGTTTATCGTACCGAAGGAAGTTGGCCAGTTCGTCCAGGTCTTGAAACGCGTGAACACTACATAAAGGAAAAAAGGCCAGAAATTTTTAAATCAGTTTATGGTCTTCTTCACTCGTAAGTAAGCGACCAATATCCATTTAATTTTGTTTTCTACAATGTGTATTCTGTAAATTTTTGGTAGCCATGGAGAAGAATGGCAAAATATCCGGACAAAAGTAAATCAACCGATGATGCAAATTAAAGTTACTCGACAATACGTGGGCTGGATTGAAGAAATAGCTAACGATTTCATTAAAAGGTGTGTGAATTAATAAATATTTGTAAAATGATATATATATATAATATATCTCTAATTTAATAGATTGCAAACATTATTGGATTCAGAAGGCAATGTACCACAAAACTTCCTGACAGAAGTAGATCGATGGTCTTTGGAGTCAATAGCTCGAATAGCAGTGGACACTAGGCTTGGTTGCCTTGATGACAATCTAGCCGAAGATTCTGATGGCATGAAACTAATCAGAACATTACAACGATTCTTTGACTTGGCATATGAGATTGAAATATTGCCATCATTTTGGAGATATATTAATACTCCAAAATATAAAGAAATGATGCAGATTTTTGATTGCTTTACAGAGTATGTAGATATTTGAAATATGGATCAATAAACAATAATTTTTAGTAATAAACAACAAAAAATCAATCAAATTAATTATTATATAAATGTTATAGTAACTTTATTGCAAGGCATATTCAATTTTTGTCTATTCATTAAACATAATTGTGCATAATAAAAACTGTAAAAATATTTTTGTTTAAATAATTAGAAGCAGTCTGAAACTTAGATTGAAACTATTTTTAGAAGATGTCATACTAAGATGAGATTGCTATAAGAAAAATATAATTAATAAAGATGTTAAACTAGAGTGAGTATGGCAGCGTGCTTTAAAGCCAACTAATGTGCATGGCATCGTGCTTTAAGCCTGCTGGACTTACGTCCTGCAATTAAAAATCTTAGTACGGAACCCAATAAAATTTACACAAAATGTGTACACATTATTAATCTCTCAAAAAATATCTGATAATTTAACAAAAATGTTTATGTGTCCAATAAACAAAACATTTTTGACCGACAGATAACATTTTTTTAACTTATTTTATTGAGAGTCCATAACCGCTGGACCTGACTTCCTAAAAATTTAATCAGTTTTCATCTTGTCAATGCAAGTAGAATGTTTTTTAATTGTTAAAATCGGACGCTCCGTAGTCTTGAAAACTGAGTTACCGTTTTTGGCACATTTTGCCCCGTATCTTCGGAACGACTAAATTTGCCTTCGCCAGAAACTAATCAACTCCTTATTAATACGAATCGAATGTTTTTTGAATTATTCAAATCAGTTGATCGGTGTTCCCGAAATCGTCGACAAAAATTTGTATCCTCACACACCCATACACACACACACCTACATCCATTTTTTCTAATTGTAAGGTATGCCAAAATATTCAGAAACCTTTGATTATATTTTAGCATTGCAATCAAACATGTATCGAAAGCCATTAAAAGGTTAGAATCAAATCCAACAACTGATGAAAGCAATTTAAGCGTTTTAGAGAAACTATTAAAAATAGACCCACAAGTTGCTTTAGTCATGGCTTTGGATATGTTTTTTGCTGGTGTTGATACGGTTAGTATAATGCTGTATTATAAAACCGCAAACATTATTATATTTGTCAATGTTATTTTCCAGACTGCTTCAAGCACAATAAGTGCCTTGTATTTCTTAGCAAAAAATCCAGAAAAACAGAATAAACTCAGAAGTGAACTAAGAGCGATATTTCCAAATAATGCTCCTATTACAGCAGAAGGATTAAATAGTTCATCGTATCTTAAGGCTTGCTTCAAGGAAACTCACAGATTGAAACCAGTTGCTGTTGGCAATATGCGTCATGCAGGGACTGATATAGTTCTTGGTGGATATTTTATTCCGAAAGGGGTAAGTTGAAAATTTTGATAGAAACTTGAGAAATATGTCATTTATTTGGTCAATTAACTGGTAACCTCTTGAAAATATAAGACTAAAATTTGATTATTTTAAACGTACTTCTTCATGCTCTGACTTTTTTGCATCTTAAGTTGATCCAACTGAGATTAGTATTGTTATAAAAAATCTTTGACTATAACTTTTTTTATATTTTTTTCAGACCTATGTTATGCTATATCACCATTTGGCAGCCAAAGTCAAAAATCAATTTCCTGATTCTGATAAATATTTGCCAGAGCGCTGGTTGCGTACTGATCCTGGTTCCATTCCTCCGGCTAAAAGTGCCCATAAATTCGCCTACATGCCATTTGGATTTGGGCCCCGTATGTGTGTTGGCAGAAGATTTGCCGAACTAGAAATGGAGGTTCTGGTTACCCGGTTGATAACTAATTATCAAATCGATTGGAATGGTCCAGATATGCAGTATAAAAGTAGTTTGATCTTAGGTCCAACTGGACCAATGAGATTTAGATTGACACCCATAAAATAAATAATCATGTAAATGAGAATAATGTATGTAATAAATTTCAAAACAAAAATGTTTTTGAAGTAAAACTTCTTTAGGCGCGACTAGGGTGTGAATCCGTACAAATGCAACGGAAATGTTCGTCATTCGCTCTCTATTTCGATACGGGTCGATTGTGATTAGCCGCCATGTATGTGAATAGAGATTTGCCGTTGTATGCGTACCGGCATCAACGTTGTATGTGTACCGATATCAACAAGAAAATCGGTATAGATAGATAAACCTTTTAAACTTACATCGTAGTACAAATCTTGATTTAATGAAAAATGCCTGAATCAGAAGAATTTTTTACCCTGTTTTTTGAAAATATTGATTAATAAGATTAATGATTAGTAAGTTTATTGATTAGAAATTATTTCTATATTATTAGTAGTTTCTATAAATCTTTGAAGTAATTAAAATGGACAATATTTATACAAGAAAGATATTACAGCTGTTCAAAGAATGAGATTATATCGCCAGCAAACAAGCAAAAAAATACCATCAGTCAATGAATGTATGTTAATTTATATTACATGAAGTTCTTGAAACACAATTACATGATGAGTGAAGTTGCAAAAACAATATTTGTTTAGGCGTTTTAATAAATAAGTTTTACTTGGTATATTTATAATCATTGATATTCATAACCAACAAAATGCACATACGAATATTCGGTGTAAATATTAGATCGAAACATAAACTGGTTATGTCACACGATGTTTCTTATAATATAAAAAATATTACCTTCAAAGATGACATGTCCGCATTATATGAATGTTAATTTACGATAAGCAATTTATCTCAATTGAGCATATCACGTTTTACGGCATGACAGATGTAGTCATTTCAGTGTTTTATTCGTAGTACATAATTTTTATAATAGTTAATAAGATAACTAATAGTAATGAAAATAGTGATCTTTAAAATATAATAAGATATAATATTAAATATGCATAAAGAAATTCGACTACTAATTACTAAGATAAATCACAGAAAATTTTCGACGGGCTATATAAAGGTAAGCTAAATTTTATTATTGTTGTTTTCTATTTATGTTAATTTATAGTTTCAATTAAGTGTAAAATTTTTAATTTCTTGTATTCTCAAATACATTTATATTTAATGATATATTCTAAAATAGCGACAAATTGTCTCTGAGGTATCGGCATTATCATATGATAAGATACCTGGACCTTCGGCTTTACCGATCATTGGAACACTTCATCATTTTCTTCCTGGCGGCAAGTAGTGATAAATATATTATAATAACAATTTGTAGGCAACAATAAATTTCCAGACTATCTTCAAATTTATTAATTAATAATTATTTAATGTCCCAAACAAGTATAGTTACACTGCATCGTTCCAATTAATAAGCATAATAATCAATATTAATCAATTAAATTTTGAGTCCAATTATAAAAAAATATTTTGAAAGGTATAGTTAATTTGAAAGGTATTTTTGTAAAATTTGATTATTAAATTAACCAAACCAGTTTTTTTTTCTCGTGATTGCAAATTGCAAACTTTCAATATTTTTTAGAACCATTAAGAAAGATTTACTAAGGCACTCAGTTCGATGTAATTTATTGAACTATATAATATTATTGGCAATAAATATATGGTAAATTTTTATGAATTTTACAGAAAATAAAATACTTAGAGTATTGAATTCTAATTTTTAGGCAAAGTTAATATATTATTTTTTTTACCAATATTTTTAAATTTGATTAAGTTTCGACAAATTTTGCAGTAGTACTGAGATTAGAAAAAAAACTTGATTTTACCATTTTTAAGAATTTGTAATATTTTCTTTATTTAATATAATTTAATTTAATTTATTAACGTCGTTTCAGGTAAGTTAAAGGGTTTAAACATGATTGACTTGGGATTAAAGTTATACGAAGAATATGGTGACATTGTCAAATTAAAAGGAATCCTAGGAAAAAGAGATATGGTCTTCTTATATGACTTGGACGACATCGAAAAAGTAAGCCAAAACCTAATTAGTTTGAAAATCTGAAACAATAAATTGGCTGCACTTTATCATTTATTTAATTAAATTAAGCAACAAGCATGTTCTATACCTAAGCAAACCAACTTGAGTATCTTTACTGGAATTAATTCTTTTAAACTAATTTAAATAAGTGAAGTAAAGTAATTTATAGTTTAGAAATAATTTTACATAACATACAAAATCATTTCTTAATTATATTAAAATCATATCAGGTTTATCGCACTGAAGGAACTTGGCCAGTTCGTCCAGGTCTCGAAACACGTGACCATTACATAAAGAAGAAAAGACCGGAAATTTTTAAATCAGTATATGGACTTCTTCACTCGTAAAGTTTGACCATTTAATTTTTCTTTCTATATATATTCTGATTATTATTATTTTTGGTAGCCATGGAGAAGATTGGCAAAATATCCGGACGAAAGTAAATCAACCGATGATGCAAATTAAAGTAACACGACAATACGTCGGCTGGATTGAAGAAATAGCTAATGATTTCATTAAAAGGTGAGAGAATTTATTTAGAGACTGTGAAACTTTAAAAATCGTTTCACAAAAAATTCAAATATATTTTTACTATTTTTACTATATATATTTCTAATTTTGAAGGTTGCAAACTTTACTCGATGCAGAAGGCAATGTACCCCAAAACTTCCTAAGAGAAGTAGATAGGTGGTCTTTGGAGTCAATAGCCCGAATAGCAGTGGACACTAGGCTTGGTTGTCTTGATGACAATCTCACTGAAGATTCAGATGGCATGAGGCTAATCAAATCAATACAACGATATTTTGACTTGGCATACCAGATTGAAATATTGCCATCATTTTGGAGATACATAAACACCCCAAAATATAATGAAATTATGCAAATTTTTGATTGCTTTACAGAGTGAGTATGCTAATGAAATAAAACTAAACAAATGTTACTAATATAAAAATATATGCATATTATCCTATATTCAAAGAGAATATTTTTAATTGTAACAGTAAACTAAATGTAGATTTGATTAATATTTTCAGCATCGCTGTCAAACATATATCACAAGCAATCAAAAGGCTAGAAGCAAATCCAACAACTGATGATAGTAATTTAAGCGTTTTGGAGCATTTATTAAAAATAGATCCGCAAGTTGCCTTTGTTATGGCTTTAGATATGTTTTTTGCTGGTGTTGATACGGTTAGTATAAAATCATACCTCCAAATTTGAAAAATTATAATAATTGCCAATAATTTCTTCAGACTGCTTCAAGCACAATAAGTGCAATGTATTTTTTAGCAAAAAATCCCGATAAACAGAATAAACTGAGAAGTGAATTAAGGGCGATATTTCCAAATAATTCTCCTATTACAGCAGAAGGATTAAATAGTTCATCGTATCTTAAGGCTTGCTTCAAGGAAACTCACAGAATGAAACCAGTTGCTATTGGTAATATGCGCCTTGCAGGAGCTGATATCACTCTTGGGGGATATTTTATTCCGAAAGGGGTAAGTTAAAAAAAAATCCATCGACGTCGTTAATATATTAGTGGTGCCAACAATAGAAAAAAAACGACTTCAAAAAGGTGAATGGAGTAAAAATTTAAAAGTACAGTATTAATATAAAATAATTTCTGTGTTATTTCAAAATATTTCTGAATTTTCCACCTCAAGCAAACTTTTAATAATCCCATATCAAAATATAATATAAAAAGTTTTCGATTATGTATTTTTCTCCATATATTTTTCAGACTTATCTTCGTCTAAGTCATCACGTAGCAGCCAGAGTCAAAAATCAATTTCCTGATCCTGATAAATATATACCAGAGCGCTGGTTACGTACTGGTCCAGGTTCGGTTCCTCCGGCAAAAAGTGCCCATAAATTTGCCTACATGCCATTTGGATTTGGACCTCGTATGTGTGTTGGCAGAAGATTTGCCGAACTAGAAATGGAGGTTCTGGTTACCCGATTGATAACTAATTACCAAATCGATTGGAATGGTCCAGATATGCAGTATAAGAGTAGTTTGATTTTGGGTCCAACTGGACCAATGAGATTCAGATTGACTCCTCTAAATTAATACATCACATGAATATTATATGTAATAATATTGAGAAATAAACTATGTTTATCTGCATTTCTACATATATTTGTTTTGATTACAAAAAGTTCTAATATAATAATTTTAAACATCATTTATAATAATAAATATAAGCATTAAATACTTAAAACGTATTTAATATCTCTAGAGTATATTTTCCACCTCAGTCTTGCCACAAATATTTAATAAATGTATGACACATTTATATTTGATTATGTTATATGATCAATCATTAAGTGTTTACAAAGCAATTAAACTATTCATATTTTTATGATTAGAGGTACCTTGAAAAAATATTAAGTTGAACTGCGTTATTAACAATTGACGTAAAATAAATAATTTCCAATATAATTAACTTCCCGTAGGGTAAGTTATAGTAAGAGTTCACGTTCCAGAGGTTTCTAAACATTTTGGCATACCTCAAAAGTGGATATGTATGTGCACGGATCAATCGATTTGAATGGTTCAAAAAAATATGCGATTGATAGAGAGATGTGCTGATTAGTTTTTGGCAAAGGCAGGTCCAGCCACTTTGAAGATACAGAGCTAAATGTACAAATAATGGCAGTTTTTGAGAGAATTAAGCATTCGATTTGAATGATTAAAAAAACTTTCTGCTTGCGTTGACAAAACAATTGCTCTAAAAAAAATTATTTCATTTTTTTCTTTCAATATCATCAAAAAAGCGCATACCATCCAAATACTCTAATAAAAGACCTGCTAAAACAAGTTTCTATGAGAAGATTAAAAAGAAAGTGGCCGCAAGATTTAATAAATTAACAATCAATATATTTATGTAAAAAAATTCCCCACTAAGCCCTGTATCCGTCAGCAAATAACCTCATTGAAGCCAAGGTTCAGATTGGTTATAAGAAATAAATAAAAAAAAACAATTTTCTTTTTGTTTTCAAAAATAATGTTTTCGAAAATAGTTTAGACTTTAATTTTAATTCTGGCTAAAGTTTGGGAGCACACTTCTATACTTTAAATAAATAATTTTAACTTCGTAATTTGGTCTATATAAATCTTATAAATATTAGACAATGTTACAGTATTTATAATAATCTACATAAAAACTTTTAATATTTCTTGAACATTTCGTTACGGTACCAAAAGTTCCAGCAATTTGCCTTAAGGCAAGTTTATATATTTTCGTAATATTTTTTTCATAGGAAAGCTACAATTTTGAAAATATGTAAGATTAAATCTCTATAATCATAAAAACTATTCATTTTGATTATAATTATTACCTAATTTTTTTGTTAATCATTAAAGATATAAACGATCAAGGGTTAAGAACTCATACTGGTCGATTATATTATACTTAAACTATTGATTCATGATATCAACTGTCATACAATAGTAATTTATATCTGAAAAAATCACATTTGAAGTGGCTATTTTATATAATAGGTATATAAATATTTGACTCAGTTTGACTGGTATTGTTCATTGTTAATTTATGATATCAACGCAATTAATTAAACAAACGGAAATGAAAATTCTTTTGGTAATTGGAGCCCTGATTGGGGTCAGTTTGGGTAAGTTTCAATATCGGTAACTACATTTTCTTAAACTACAATTAATGGTCCTTGAACGCTCATTGAGCCTTTAATTCGTATATTTATAATATATTTATTTCAGGTATTCCATCTGATTTAAATCGTATTGTAAATGGATCTATTGCAAAAGAAGGTTCTGCTCCATACATGGCCTCTCTTAGAGACTCTCGAAAACATCATATGTGTGGAGCTTCAATCTTAGACGAACGCTGGGTTCTTACTGCTGCTCATTGCCTCAATTGGTAAATTTGAAATTATTTCAAAAACGAAACATATAAATGCTCAAAAAACACTAAACCTAGTTATCCCCAGGGGCCTTCTAAGATAAGTCTACATCGGCTCAAACTACCTCTCTCGTGATGGTGAATATTATGGCGTAGAAGAACAAGTCATCCATGACGACTACTTAGGCGAATCTACTGGTCACAGCAATGATATTGCCCTAATCAAAGTCGATAGAGATATCAAATTCAGCAAAACTGTCCAACCTATCAAATTGCACAAAAGTTTAATAAATGGAGGTGAAAAATTGAAAATTACTGGATGGGGATTGACGAATCAAAGTCATAGTGATGAACCAGATGTTCTTCAAGAGTTGCATGTAAAAGCACTTACTGATTCTGAGTGCGAGAAAGCTACAGGTGAAGACCATCCTACACACCTTTGTACCTTCGAAGCACCATCCAAGGGTGTATGCATGGTAAGTTAATCAACAACTACATTCAGAAAATATTCTTCTTGAATACTTTGTTTTTTAAATGAAATCAATGTCTATTTATATTTGGTGCTAAACAATAAATAAACAAATTTTCATATTTTCAGGGAGATTCTGGTGGTCCTTTGATCTACAATGGAGAGCAAGTTGGTGTCACATCTTTAGTCTGGGAAGGTTGTGCTGTGGGCAATCCTGATTTGTTTACCAGAATTTCTCTTTATTTAGATTGGATTGATAAAGTCAAGAAAGAATATTAAATTAACTTTTTAAATTTTATAATTATCTTACAAATACAATTTATTTGTAATCAACCTAACAGTTTATTTTTATTCTCATACTCATTTCGGTGCTTGATTGTACATAATTATAAATTATAATTTACAAATAATTTTATTACACTCGATCTTGATTAGTAAATTGAAAACAAACGTAATTATTTACAGGAAATATCAATTGATGCATTTGTCCTAAAAAAGGAGATCTTTTTATTGAAATGATATAAAACTATATCCTAAAATGATTTATACTAGAAATTGTGAAATGAAATACAACATAATTTTTTTTGTTTAAAACTATTGTTCACTTCTAATTTCTTAGTAAAATTATAATTCATTGCTCAATTAAACAAACATAAATGTAAGTATGAATATTATCTCTTATAACATGATTATTATCTATTATAAATTGCTGATTTATGTAACAATTCACAATTTAAAAGTATTATTTTAATTTTTGATTTTAATAAATTGCATTAAATTTATATAGAAAAAAATCTTCAGAATTTTATACAATAAATTTATTTTTTATTTTTATATAGTCTGTAATGAACCCTTGTAGATAATATGCAAAATCCCAACTCAAATAAAATTAAATATACCGACAGCATTTGTAAAATTCAATAATTAAAAAATTTAAGAAATCACAATGTATATTGTAAAATATTAATTACTATATTCATGAAATTAATTCATGTTGACCACAGAATTAGTGAACTTCAAAAACTTCAACAATAACGGTGATTTTAGAAAAATAACTTGAATTTTAATATTTAATTATTTATTACTAAGAAGTGGTACATAAATAAACAACAATTCAAAAATGATAATATAATGGAAATTTAAATTTACTATTCTGCAACACGATTTTACGAATCTTTATAAATCTTTACAAAACTCTTTGAAATTTATTGTAGTGTTTTAATTTTTAAAAAATGTTCAAATAATATAAAAAAACATCAATTGCGTATATTGATTAACAAATAAGAATATTACAGTAGTACTATATTTAACTTCCCGTAGAGTAAGTTAAAGTAATGGGCCGAAAATCAAAAATGAAAATTTGTGCATATCTTCACGTTTCAGATATTAACGTTTCTGAACATTTTGGCATACATCAGAAAAACGGATATGTGTGTGTATGTTTTGTGTGTCCACATTTGTTCGTTTACGTTTTCGGGCGCACGGATTAACCGATTTGAATGGTTTAAAAAACATTCGATGCCTATTGATCGGGAGATGTGCTGATAAGTTTTTAGCAAAGGCAGGTTCAGCCATTTCAAAGATACAGAGCTAAATGTACAAAAAAATGTTGTTATATTGATATAATGCTAAACTACATTCTGAATATGGTTCTCATTAATTACGCTATATAAAAAGAAATCTAAGAAAATTGAAACTAAATAAAAACTCAACTGATATGATTATCAATATCATAAGACGTTTACTTACTGGAAATTTCTATAATTGAAATCATTATCAAGCACACTTGAATTAACAATTATAATTGAAATAATAGACGATCTGAAGTGAAGTGTTTCACGAAATCTCTATTGAAACCATATAAATATTAGACCCACATAATAAATTTGGTTATTTTCGGTTTTATTGCAGAGCAATAAATAAACAAATGGAGATGAAGATTTTGTTTGTAATTGGGGCTCTGATTGGAGCCAGCGTGGGTTAGTGGTTGCATTTTAACTTGGTTTGGTTAAATATTGTCTGTCCCATAAATTAGTTATTTATTTTATTTTAAAATATATTATTGAATATGTATCATATAGTAATATATTTTTTAGGACTTCCAACTGACTCAAATCGCATTGTTAATGGAATTAATGCCAAAAATGGTTCTGCTCCATATATGGCTTCCCTAAGAGATATTAATGGAAACCATTTCTGTGGAGCATCGATATTGGATGAACGCTGGATTCTTACTGCTGCCCATTGCCTTACTGAGTAAGTACTAATATATCGATTTAAATTGATAATAATAGTCATTAAGGCAAATTGCTGGAACTTTCCGTACCGTAATTAAAATTTGGTACGGAACCCAAAAAAATTTGCACAAAATGTGTACACATTATTAAAATCTATATAAAATATCTGATAATTTGATGTACATATGTCCAATAAACATTTTTGACCGACAAATGACATTTTTCTAACTTATTTTTATTGAGATACCACAACCGCTGGACCTGCCTTCCCAAAAATACAATCAGTTCTTCATCTTGTCAATACAAATAAAATGTTTTTTGAATTATTGAATCGGACGCTCCGTTCCCTTAAAAACTGAGTTACCGTTTTTGGCACATTTACACCTGCCTTCGTCAAAAACTAATCAGCACGTCTTTTTATCAATACGAATCTAATGCTTTTTGAATTATTCAAATCGGTTGATCCGTGTTCCCGAAATCGTGGACAAAAATTTGTATCCGCACACACACATCCATTTTTTCTAAGCTTTGAATTGTAAAGATATATAAAAATTTTCATTTTCGATTTTTTTGCAATTACTATAACTTACCCAACGGGAAATTAAATAACCCTGTTCATAAATATGTTTTTTTTTCATATGCTTCATAAATGTTGTGCCATATATACAAACATTGCATATAGCAAATATACCAACATCTACTTATTTATCTACAATATATTCTTATTTTTTATTTTCTCTTAAGCGGTCATCTAGATACAGTTTACGTTGGTTCAAATCATCTTTCTGGCGACGGAGAGTACTACAATGTAGAAGAAGAAATCATCCATGATAAATATTTTGGTCAAACAACTGGCTTTAAAAACGATATTGCTCTCATCAAAGTTTCTAGTGCTATAAAACTAAGCAAAACTGTTCGTCCTATCAAATTGCACAAAGATTTCATACGCGGAGGTGAAAAATTGAAAATTACTGGATGGGGATTGACCAATCAAACTCATGGTGAAGTTCCTGATGCTCTTCAAGAGTTACAGGTAGAAGCACTTTCTAACTCTAAATGCAAGGCAATTACTGGTGTCCATCTTCCTGCTCACCTCTGCACCTTCAGAGCACCTCAAAAGGGTGTATGCATGGTAAGTTAAATAATGTGTATATTTTTATATATCTTTTAAATTTAACTATCAAACATGATATTAGTCGTAGAAGTTTCACCTAAATAATAATATTATTATAATTTTTATATTTTCTAGGGTGACTCTGGTGGTCCTCTGGTCTATAAAGGCAAGCAAGTTGGTGTCACGTCTTTCGTCTGGGAAGGTTGTGCTTTGGGCAACCCTGATTTCTTTACAAGAGTTTCGCTTTATGTAGAGTGGATCAAAAAAATTCAAAAAGAATATAATTGATATGTTGATTGTCACTAAAATGCATCGATTTGGATAATTTGGTTGTGAATATAATTTTATTTCTAGCATCAAATTTGTTTTAATTATCGAACCTAAGTAATCAAAATTGAAATATAAAGATGATTGAAAGTGATTAATTGTAATAGCTACTAATATATATTATTAATAAGAGCAAAGAGTTAGAAAGATTTAATTATTTAGGAAGAGATTTTTGTATTTTATACAGAGAATATTTGTTTCACAGTAAATAATACGTACAATTTGAAGTTGCAGAATGAATAAAAACTCATTTGATAGGCATGATGAAATTCATTAATAGTAATATTTAGTTAGTACCTGCATAATTGATACTAGCAGGTGAAACTAGAAATAGCTCAAATTAATTAGTGATTAGAGCTGTAATAAATTTTAACCATTCTCTGAAACGACAGACTGATTTTACGCATTCGATACAAGGTTATAATAATGTCTATCTAAATTTTTTTAAAAGTCGTTATAAATGTTATACCTTCCAAAATTATATACCTATATTGATGTGCAGATATATTGCGCCTCTGCTTAAATATAAAAAAAAACATGTGCAAATGAGTTTGTATTAGAGAAAATGCAACAGTGAGTTGAATTACCAATGCATTTTACATTAAAACACTGATTGATCTGTCGTGACTATATACACTTTCATACCTGTGTTTTATATATTATGGTTTACTTGTATTACAATTTCTTTGCATATACTTTCGACTCCATAATAAAAATGAAAGTTACTGCATTATTGCATTCGACATAATCAAATGTTTTACTAGTACTATAAAATTATTGTTATATACCGAATTATTTGCAAAATTTACTTGATAAATAATAAAATAAATTTTATTTATATTACATTTAATATATAACAATTAAATATATATTGTGTTAGGTATGAACATAAAAGTTCTGTATTCCTTGGCAGTGTATTTCTTCATACGAGCAAAGACAGGTAAGAGTAATTTCACATGAGTACAATTTGATGACTTGAAGTAAAATTTAATAAATTTGTATAAATGGCATAAGTTTTTTTATAAATTAAAGCTTTCAGCCTAATGTCTGAGAAAAACTATTGTTTTTTTTCTTAGATGTACCTGCACTTGCAGTGAATATAAAGTTTCAATATAAGGAATAAAGAATTAAAAGAATAAAGAATTTTTTGTGAATTTTGATTGCTAAATAAAAAATAACTAGTTTTAATGCAAATAGAACAAATATAAAATTGGGCCCAAAATGAATGGGATAGAGCGGGGTTTAAAGGTCCGCCGGTAAAAGATCCATAACCGATATCTCAAAAATCAGTAAAGTAAAGAATTTTTAACCACAATATTTGAAAGTAGAGGGAAAAGGGTGTATAACTAACCATCACCTTGATTCTTACGATGTTATTATTAGGAAATAAACGAAAATGTTTGAAAATCCATAACAAAAGTATTTTCTTTCGTTGTTAGTTTTTTGGTCGTGAGCACTGTTGTTTAGTTTACAAGATCTTAATATATTTTTAAGTATGTTTTATTTCATTATTTTATAACATTTATTGTTAATTTTAAATTAGACTCAACAGTTTTTCATATAAGTTTACTGTAAAAGCTTATACGCGGATGGGGTAAAAATAACCAACTAAACCTTTATCTTAGCAAAGGCGTAAAAAATAAAAAATAGCAAATAAAATAGTAAATTAAGTTAAAAAAGCAATTTTTCAAGAGAAATTAAATAAATAATTATTCGAACTCTGCTGATAAATTTTTGACGAAATACCAGATCAAGGTTATTTACAGTAATATCTCTGTAAAAAATGCACCTATGAAAGTTGAAGTTGAATAATGTAGCTATTATTTTGTAAAATCCCTCTAAAATTAAAACATGACATTAAACTTGTTCACCCCGACTATGGGGTAAAAAGGACAAGGTTACAAATTTTTGTAAAACAGTATAAAACCATATTTTTCACAATGGGCTAGGAGTTTTACTGAAAATAGTCAGACAGTTGTTTGTTCGATCTGAGGTATTTGTTTTGTTCTAATTTTTTTGGTGTTCACAATATAAATGAACCTTTCAAAATCAAATTGGACCTTTATTCCCAGCCCTATCCTATAAATTCTTCTTTAGATAATTTTTTAAAATAATCGAGTTCCTTATCATCAACGAACACATCATTACAAGGTTTGCATGGGAAAGTGGGGTAAAATTTTCAGATATTGAAACAAATTGCAAGTACTTTTAACAAAAACAAGTGATAAAAGTGTTAAAAATTTCAGGTACATATTTTTTGTTTCTCATTTCCTACTCTTTTTAAAATTTCTATAAATGCAGAAGTACCTTACTTAACTTCCACATATCTAACATATGTAGTGAGAATATACCTATTTTTGAAATATTTGATGTGTGTGTGTAAACAATATAAATATTAATATAATTTATATGTATGTATAACCAATATCAATATTGATATAATTATGATTAATATATAATTATCCAGTCAAAGCACAGTCTGAATATACGAATCGCATTGTCGGAGGTTCTAATGCACGAAGAGGATCCGCACCTTATATGGCATCATTGAGAGATATCAACCGAAACCACTTTTGTGGGGGATCTATTTTGAATGAATACTGGGTACTGACGGCTGCCCATTGTGTCCACAACAGGTTACCATATTAAAATTAGAAAATTAGAATATCAAGTATCTGTATGTTCAATGTAAAACTCTTTCTTTTGGTTATTAGCGATCGCCTGGACACAATTCACGTTGGCTCTAAACATCTTTCGATAGGAGGATTATTCTTTCCGATTAATAAAATAATTTCTCATGAAAATTACATTGGTCAAACCGATGGCTTCAGTAACGACATAGCTTTGATCAAAATCAGGGGCACCATTGTGTTCTCCAGAAATGTGCAACCAATACATTTAAAAGAAGATCGAACACCAGGCGGTGAAAACCTTAAAATAACAGGATGGGGATTTACCAAAGCTAATGTATTTACAGTTTCTGAAAAATTAAAAGAACTCAAATTAAAATCATTATCAGATGAGCAATGTGAGCAAAAAATTGGTTTCAAAAAACTCATATCTGTACTTTTAGGGCTAAAGATCGAGGAGTGTGCATGGTGAGGAAATTGATTTAAAAAAAGTTCTATTGATGTAGTGATTAGTCGGAATAGATCATCAATTAAATCATTTTTTATTATGTTATTATTTATAGGGAGACTCAGGTGGTCCTTTAGTGCAGAATGGGCAACAAATAGGTATAGCATCTTTTGTATGGAGCGGCTGCGCCAAAGGCTTTCCAGATTTTTTCACGAGGACATCATTATATATTAATTGGATATATGATCGTTTCAGAAATGATCACTTAACTTAATAGTTAAAGATAAATATGCTTAATTAGCAAGATACTTCAAATTTTTACAAACAATATGATCTCTTATACAATAAATAGCAATGATTTGGGTACGAAAAAATAAATTGAAATAATTTTCTATAAAATCATATAAACAAAACATGCAGTAATAGAATTTAAGATATTATTTAAGTAGACATCAAAATTAAATTTATTTTATAAGTTATGTTTTTAAATAGGAATTATAAAATTGTAGATAACTCAATTTTAACTCAATTTGGTCCGCATTTGAAAAGTGCGGACTATCTTATTAAAGTTAATATTAAGAGCTAAAACTTTCAGAATTTTTTTATAAATTTGGAAGCATTGAGCTGGAAATTGAAGCTGGGGTCGAAGGAATTCGAAAATATCCATATTAAGGATCACCCTAATATATATTTACATATTCATATCTTCTGTAATGATGTATGTAAATTTACTCTTCCTAAACGATTATTCGAATTTTGATATATCTTTCTGAAGTTTGTTAGAAGAATTTTTTAGAATGTGATTATAAATAAAAATTAATGGAAAAATCGCAAAAAGACATTGTTTAGCATTGAAATGAAAACGAATGTAAACTGTCATCTGCCAAAAAATTCAATTTACTTTTGAGCCTAGACGATATGTATAATAAATTTATGATTATGAATAAAAAATGAAATGTCTACATTATTATTGTCGAAAAGCAGCTGAGATGTGCCAAAAATTAAATAAGATACAATATATGTAGATTGAATGATACACATATGAACAGGATTTGGCAAAATAATTCACTTGAAACATAAAATTAAGTAATAATCAGGGCCGGTCCTACCTCGAATGCGACGCATGTGAAAAATACGAGCGCACGCCTTAGGGGGCGCCAACACAAGATTCGGATATGAAATTTTCAATATAGTTTTTTTAATATCATCCAATAAATACATAATTTCTTTGCATATTCTACTATTCTTTTCACAATATTTTTAAAATACGTTAAAAATTTCACTTTAAAACAACAAATGGGAAAGAAAATGTGAATTAGAAGAGGTTTAAGATGCAATTTTGGATATCTTAACTAATAAAAAATTAAATTAAAATAATCCAACATGGAGTACCAGTTTTATGTTACGGTTATGTTTAATAATGAAAGCCTAAAATTTTTTTGCTCTCTATGATTTGCTTGATAGAATAAATCGCATAAAATGCCCAAAATAAATAAGTAAAATGTTTCACAAACCAAAATAATAATTTTAAAAATAAACTGTTAAAACAGGTAAAATAATAGGGGGGAAAGCTAGAAATGGCATGTGGGCCTGAGGACCCCTAGGAGCGTCCCTAATAATAATGTATATTAAATTATTATTAAGATAAATGTAATTTAGATATTATAATTACTAAAAACCAGTTAAAATATGATACGAGATTACAAAAATTGCAGGCAAAATTAATCGAGCAATTATTTTGGGTGCCAAATCCAAGGTGATATTGTACCTTTGCCGCGGATACTACATATTATTTTTTTCTGAATTTGTTATACCGCTTAAAAAACTTCAATTTCCCATATAGTGTGGGAATTGAGACTTATCATCGAGTCACATTTAACATCGCTCATATTGATGTATATGCACTTTGATGTGAAGAGTAATTTAAAACAATAATTATTATTTTTAGGTAAACAGTATAGATATTGAAAAATTGTTGACGTGGGTAATGGACAACGTCTGTCATCTAGTAAATATAAATATAAATATATATATATATATATTTAAAATTCATATATCAATTAGCAAAATTTTGGATAAAATCATCAAAGCAAGTCTAGACTTTCATTCCACAAATAGATCACCACCCTCACAACAACGTTTCAACACATATGCCAACCCATTCGCGATAATCGCCAAACTGATTGCTCCCTTTTGAAAACAACCGTGGCGTAAAATTGGGTTTATGGCAACCCACTGCCTATTTTGTATTTTGACAGACCTGACACACTGACTGAATTTCACTACACGTTTTTCCCCGGCAAATTCGATCGATATTTTCCTCTGATAGCATTATGCGTACGCATGCGCCTCTGCATTTCAGCTGTTCGGATTTACATAAACACAACTAAAATTCGAAGAAATGTCTAAAATTAAAAATAATTCGAGTGTAAAAAACTATATTAAATTGTCTGAGAGATGCCTGTTAAAATAATGTGTAGTAATTCACTAAATAGTTTACGGTTTGTTAGGAAGTTTGTGATGTTTCGGCAATTGCATATTTTTGGTGCAGTGCAGGTCTGCCTTTAGTATGTGTGACCTCGCAAGAAATCTATATAAAAATTTAAAAACATTTAATCTCGAGTGATACAATGAATGCTAATTATGAAATAATGTTTAAAACAGTGTAACATAAATTAGTAAATCTAAATAAAATGGTGAAATATAAGCCGAATATAAATTGTATTATAAAAAATTTTATAATATACATTAGTGCTATGTGTGATTTAAATCAAATATAAATATCAATTAGTAAATTTAGTGAATTTTGTTATATTACCATATGTTTAAAGGCTTGTGGTTTGTGTTTAATATTTCACGATATTATTAATAACGTTGATCGATTTTAATATATTTTATAAATTAGTTCCTGCTTAATCAATTAATATGGAACAATCATTGTTTATGTTTGGAATATGTTTATGTATAGAACTGTTTTGTTTGACTTTAGTGGGAGTTGACTGTTATCCAGAAGAAACAATTAAAACAGCCATGTAAGTAGATAATATATTTTGAAATAATTTTTATTAGACCTGAAAGAGGAGTTGTCTTCTTCATTAAATAAATATCTTCATTGATAAGAATTTTTTTCTTAAATAAAATAAAGATTTAATCAATAAAATTTAATAATGTTTAAAAGACCAGTTTGACGAATTTAATTTGAGTAATTTAACTCAGCAGAATTTTTTTTATTGCTTAAAAAATATTACTAGTTATTGTGTTGATGTATAAATTGTTTAAAAATTGTATAAATATTTCTAAATTTCACAAATCCATATGTTTCAAGATATATCTATAAGTTCTTGAATATGAAATTTCTAATTACAAAAAAAAATATTTTTTTTTATTAAATTTGTATGTTAATCAGAATAAAGTAAGTAATTCTATGAGCTACAGAGAGAACATAATCTAAACAAATCTATAATGTAAATTATCAAAATGAGCAGTGTATGTTTTAAATTTATATATTTTCATCAGTTTTTTTTACGTTCAAAAACAATATATTTTTATCAGTTTTTGTTTATTCTATCATTTTGTAGAAGTAGTCTAAGCAGACATGCTGCTTTCAAAATGGATAAATAAATTATATTTGCACCAACTAATAAAATTTCTTCGTTCTGATATTATTTTATTAGATAATATTTTTAGCAATTTTTAAACGCATTTATTACTTGAAGTATTATTATGATACCAAATTATGTTGGAGCTAATATTCCATAAATTCTAAATTCTAAATTTAATTAAACATTTTTTCATATTTTGATAGAATAGTTTTTAATTAAACAGGCAAAAGTTATCCTCTTTATCAAATAATTATCTTAATTGATTAAGATAATATTTTTCTTAAATGGAAATCATACACAGATAAACACAAATTGTTATGGTTTATAATGTTATAAAATAATATATAAATAATTTGTTAATTTATTACGTATCCAACAGAATATTTTTTGCTTTTATTAGAAAAATATTGTTACAAATGACTGTATTGACGTATAAAAATGGTTGAAGATTAATAAATTCATCTGTTTCGATTCTAATTGCTATTATTATTAAATTTGTAAATAAAAAAAATCCATCTGTTTAAGAATATATTTATATGTTGGTGAAAGAAGAATTTTTCCTTTAATAACTTATAAATGTATTAAAATTAACAAAATATATTATAAATCTATCAGTTTTAATCAGTTTTTCAAGCTTTTTAATCATGCCTTTGTTTATTTTATTATTATTTATTTTTTGTCTAAAAAAACAGCTGTCTTTAGAAGTGGATAAACATTTTTTTTTACATTTGTGAATAACAATCTGTAGTTCTTATACAACATTCAGTAATTTTGATGATTTATTAAATAAAGGTCACCCATTGGTGATCCATTTGATGTTGGAAAACATTATTTTTGTTGTATTTATAGATATCCAATTAATAAAATTACTTGGTTTGAAGATTGTATAAAATTGCTCAAAATTTTATAAATATATCTATCGATTCTATTTTTAATTTCAAAACATAATTGTTTTCAATTAGTTTTTCGAACTTTGTTTAATTTATCGTGTTTGTTTAAAAAAATCGCTGACTTTTTAAGTGGATAAATATTTATTTATATATATATATATATATATATATATATATATAGAATGTATTTTTTATGTTTAGAATGTATTAATTACCAACAAATAATATTATTAATAGTTCTATAAATATGAACTTTGTAGTAGACAAATCACTATAATATGTGATGCTAAATTAATATTTTAATTTTTAAATAATATTTATAAATGTATGCCAAGTAAATTATATTCAAATTTTATTTATATATTCTGATCGCTATTGAAAATAAAATTTAAAAAAAAATATTTCAGGGTTCATGCATGGGCTGAAAAACTTGGAACTGAACTATGGACTTCTGGAGATTTTATAACAAGAAGAAAACAAGTCCAAGAGGTTAGTATATATATATATATATATATATATATATAATATATAAATTAAAATAACTAATTTATTGTAATTTTTGTGTTTCCTTTGCAGAGTTATAAGTCTGCTAAGGTCGTAGTACGAGATGGAAATGTATTGGTAGGAGAAATGGCAAGAGAAATTAAATATATGATGGATCTCAAAATCAGCGCAGTTAAGGTAACATAAAACTTCCTTCATCCAATTATAGTTTACTAATTCATTTACATTTTTAGCGAATAATGGATGCTGCCGAAAACACAGCAGTATCAGCTAAAGATGAACCAGTTACCAAAGAATATCGTTATTACAATAGTAAAGAATTGTACCCACCTGGTATGTTACCGGAACCGGAACAAAAAGACCTGTCTGAAATCGATGAAGTCGAAGAAGCCAGAAAATTGGCAGTGCCTGCGGCCCGTGAGATGGTCCTTACTCCTGATCAGCGATTTGGAGGCACGCCCATTAACACTACGTTCAGCGCCGTCCATGTACCTACAAATGTTTTCGATAGAGGTAAAAAAAATGTTCAAATCAAATTACTTATAAAATCAATTTAATTTCATATTATATATTCCATAGATCCTGAGGTAATAAAAGCGATTAAATGGTCTGATAATTTAGATTCAATTTTCACTAATAATTATCACATGGATCCGACTCTGTCATGGCAATATTTTGGAAGTTCGACAGGTTTTATGCGACAATATCCAGGTAAATAATAATTTTATATAATATAATCGTTGACTAATCCATCAGGAATGAACATCTTCTTCTTAGTAATTACATGTTCATTTTATAAAAGGAAAAAAACAATTTTTTCGTAATTTTTAGATTTGTTTAAAATTAATAAATTCAACATAATATATAATGCTTTTAATTAAGGGAAATGGCAAAAAAAGTTTGCAATTAAAAATCAATTGCATTGACTAGTAGAATGTAATTACGGCTACCCTTTTAGATCACCAGACCTCATGTTTCCCAATTAAAGTAATTGGTAAAGTTAAAGTAATCGCAGAAAAATCAAAAATAAATTTTTTTGCACATCTTTACGTTTAAAATGGCTTTAAGGTTTTTTGAACATTTCGGCATAACTTAGAAAAAATGTATGTATGTGTGTGTGTGTTTTTGTATTTATGTGTGTTATTTTGTATAGCAACGGAAATGCATTTTACATTCCAGACTGGCTTTTGTCTGGGTATGTCAGACTCATTACCGTCTCTGGTCCACACGGAAACCGCCGTTCGTGGGGGGAGGGTCTAGAATGTTATCATTCTTACATATATGTATGTTTGTGTATGTGTTGTGCGGATACAAATTTCTGTCAACGATTTTGGAAACACCGTTCAACCGATTTGAATAATTAAAAAAACATTCGATTCATATTGATAAGGAAACGTGCTGATTAGTTTTTGACAAAGGCAGATAGAGCCGTTTCAATAGATATGGAACAAAAAGTGCCAAAAATAGTAATTGATTTTTTGAGAGAACGAAGCGTTGTATGATTCAAAAAACATTTTAATGGTATTGACAAAATTAACAACTGATGAAATTTTGAAGAAAGGTAGGTCTGGCGGTTTCGGAAATCCAATAAAAAAAAAGTGACAAAAATGCCATTTAGCGGACAAAATTGATCATTAGACATATAGACATCAAATTATCACAAATTTTATAGATATTTTAATAATAAGAACATTTTTTTTTTTACTTTTCCATGAGTTCCGTACCAATCTTTATTCGTCATACTGCGATACGGCGCTAACGCGCTTCAATATTTCGTTTCTACGCTGTTTCTTTTGAAAAAAAGTTCAAAATTTTCAAAATATTTCAAAGTATAAAGAATCAAATCTTTCAGAAAGGTCAATTTTTTCTCAAAATTGTAAAAAAATTCAAAAATCGTTGTTTTTAGAGTTCTAAAAGAAAATTGATTCTTTTTTTATAAAAATAATTTTTGGTACGGGAAGTTCCAGCAATTTGCCTTAAAGCACGATGACATGCATCACTTAAGCATAAATATATAATAATATTATAATACATAAATATTCAAACTACATTCGTGAATAAAATTAGTAACTAATGGCATCTTATTTGAGACATCCATTTAACTTGAAACAAATAATTGGACTACTTCTAGTGACATTGTAAACCATTGAAAATTATTTGCTATCTTACATAATATGTATTTTTTAATAATTTTTTTAATGATATAATTTTATCAGCTATTCTGCTACACAAATATATACATACATATAAATTTATATATTAAATAATATAGCGTAGTAGCTGATAAAATTATATGTCATTTTAATTGCAGTAATAATAATAAGATTAACATTAACAATATCATTAAGAAAATACTCGGTGTGAATACAAAATGCTTAGATCTTTTCATGCTACCTGTACAACTGGTCGCAAATATGAAACTATGATATTTTTAAACTCACTGAAAAATAACACTTTTATGATTATGTAACACTATCACTAGACTTTCAGCAAGGATTAATAAAAGAATAATAAAACTAGTGCAAATACCTTTTGTCCATAATCATCATCGGCTAACATCGTATCAAATCGCTTAAATTTAATACAGTAATGTACTCAGAAATAAAATTTTATTGTAATAGGTGCATAGATATTTACTATAATATTTTGTATATATTATACTACAACAATTTATTTTGCCCCTTAGCAATGAAATGGATCCAAGACCCAGTAGATCTGTACGATTGTCGAACAAGATCTTGGTACATCGAAGCTGCAACAAGTCCCAAGGACGTAATAATCCTAGTTGATAATTCAGGATCTATGACAGGACAAAATAAGGATATAGCTAAACATGTCGTCAGTAATATTTTAGATACTTTAGGAAACAACGATTTTGTTAATGTCTTCACATTTTCCAACGAAGTCGAGGAAGTAGTTCCATGCTTCAATGATATGCTTGTACAGGTAAGTACTGTTAACTATCACTTGCTGAAATTATTTACAATCAAGTGATTTTATTTTTAGGCAAATCTTGCTAATATCCGTGAACTAAAACTTGGTATGGAAAATTTTAAAACGGAAGACATTGCCAACTTTTCTTTGGCTTTGACAAAAGCTTTCGAAATATTGGAGTTTTATCGTATAGAACATCGAGGAGCAGAGTACGTAGTAATCATGATATTGCATAGTATCATGATATTCTAATTCATTTAGTCTATGATAATAATTAATTTTTATTGTTTTTTAGTTGTAACCAAGCTATTATGCTAATAACTGATGGAGTACCTTATAGTTATTCTGAAATTTTCGAACAATACAATTGGCAAGATCTTCCATATATGCCAGTTCGAATGTTTACTTATTTAATAGGAAAAGAAGTGACCGACGTACAAGATGTTAAGTGGATGGCTTGTGCTAATCAAGGTGAAAAATAATATTCTTTATAAAAGATTTTGATCATATGAAAAAATAATCTACTTAAAATCAGTCATGGATATTTTTTTATTTTATTTATTCTATTGTGAAATTGATATAACAATTTTCTTACTTGACTGCTAAAAAATTGTTTTAAATTTCTGACAAAGCCTGAGTAACTCATTTCAGATAGAAGTTCGGAAAAGTTCGTGTCGATTAAATCACGAAAGATTTAAATTAGATAGCTGTTAAAACAAAAAAATCTAAAATTACCATTAAAATTATTTGCATATTTAAAGTATTTATAGCATCTATTACTTTCTATAGGATATTATGTGCATCTCAGTACCTTGGCTGAGGTTCGAGAACAAGTCCTTCAATATATACCAGTGATGGCCAGGCCGATGGTACTTTGGAAAAGTGATCATCCAACTATATGGACTCCTGTTTATGCAGATATAACGGTAAGTATGTTATTTATTACCGAAAGGTTAGAAACATTAACTATATATTTTGAAAAATTTTGACAAAAAAAATCAGAATTATTGTTTATGTTTTTTAATAAAGTTTTGATTGACAAAAAATATGCATTGTGCAACTGCAAATTGAAAACAAACTTGAATTCAAACCTTTTAAAGTAATTTGTTTTTTTTTTTTTAACTTTTAAAGTTATTTTTTAAGAACTATTTGGACACGGATTTCTGAAAGTGATTAAACTAAATTAATGTATAAGCAAAAAATGATCAAAATTTTTTTTTATTTTTAAGGATCCCAAAATGACTGATTGGGAATGGGAGGCCAAGGAAAGTGAAGAACAAAAAGAAAGATTTTTGAGCATGAGGCATAATAGAAAAAAGTTCTTTTCACAAGAAGAACAAGATAGGAGGTATCTTCTAAAATATAGAGGGGTAAGTAGAAGAGCATTTTTAATAATCTAGGGATCTATATGGTTGAAGATAAAAAAAATCAAATAACAGAACAATTTATTTTAAAAGATTCTATGTTTTTATATTAGTTGAATCATCATATAAGTCATTGAATCAATTATTCATAAAAATCTATATTCGTATTTGATATACATTTTATATCAATTAAAATCTGTTAATAGTTGTTAATATTTTTAAAAATTTCTCAATACCTTAAATAAAAGTTTGGCTTTGTTTATATTCATGATAATAAAAAATATGATATAATTTTTATCTATTTATTGTTTCTGTTTCTATTTAGAATTATATTATCATATGAGATGCTAATATAAGACTTGACCTAATGTTTATCATGAAAGACAACCCATCAGTCAACCATTCTACTATGCGCCACGATATAACATAAAAATTACCCAAATTTTTTCAAATCAAATTTTAGGTGATTTGAAAATTCTAGAATACATTCGATAAAAATGTTCACTAACCTTATAATGATATTATAAGTGTTATTTATCTGTTGGTCTTTGTAATTATTACAAATGGGAAACAAGTGGTAAATGGCATCGTGCCTTAAGGCAAATCGCTGGAACTTTCCGTACCGTAACGAAATGTGCGAGGAATATTAAATGTTTTCAAGTAGATTATTATAAATACTGTAACATTATCTAATATTTATAAGAAATATATAAACTGAATTACAAAGTTCAATTTATTTATTTAAAGTATATAAGTATAGATAAAGTAAGTAAGTAAATATACTAAAAGAACTTTAGCCAGAATTAAAATTAAAATCTGAATTATTTTCGATATACAGAAAAAAATTGAAATAAAAAAAAAATTTTTTTTCAAAAGCTATTGTTTTGTCAACACAATCAGAAATTTTTTTGAATCATTCAAATTGGATGTTTAGTTCTCTCAAAAACGACTATTTTTGTACATTTAGCTCGGTGTCTTCAAAATGGCTGGATCTGCCTTTGCCAAAAACTAAGCGCAGCTTCTCCCAACTTATATTAATTCATTATATTTTAGGATCAAGGCGAAAGCGATATGCACAAGTACCAGCTGATGACATCAGTATCCATGCCAGTGTACGACCGAAGAGAAAATGCGGTACGAAACTTATTATTAGATTTTAATAAATCTTGAAAAATTTTACTTACACTATCTATTTAAGTATTTATTTACAATTGGTCATAAATTAATCGAAACGCAAATCGGATGTATATCTAAATCAGTCAACTACAATCAGAACTTCCAATTATTATTGTTACTAATCTCTTTCTGCAGAATATCACCGAGAATGTTTTGATCAACGAGGCATATTGGGTGACGGTTACCCGGGAGGTATCGAGATAATTGTATAGTATCATTATTTATATTTATCCCAAAATTTTCATTAGCGTCTAGACGAAAAATTAAAGGATGTTTTAGATCTAGACTAGTCTAGGTTGAACCATTGGGAAATAGTCCTCAACGTTATTGGCCCAGGATTAATAAAATTTTAATTTTTAGGTTGATTTTCATAAAGTATGGATCATTTATTTAGATTATATTTAGACTTACATGTACATAAATTAGAAACTAACTTATTGTGTGCCGTTATAAATAAATTAGAAAATATAGTTTTAAATCATTAATAGAACCAAAAGTACATGGCGTTTTTCTAGTGTGAAATAACACATTCGCCTAAATTATTCTTATAAGGATCTCTAAGTAATTAAACAAAGACAGCGATATTATTTTAAAAAATGCCAAGTATTTTTATTAATCCCATTACAGATAACCTACAAATGCAATGTGCGAACATATAGATAGAAAATTAGACAATAAATAAAAATAAGTAGTATGAAGTTTAGATTAGATATCAATTACTACAACTGCTATAACAGACATACAAAATATATACAAGCAATATAATTTTATATAGTATTTTAGTGTGCATAGATATTAGCTCATCATGAAATTTCAATCTAACTTTCATGGTGTGTTAAATACAAACTAATACAAATTGTTGGTAAAATATGTAGTAAATTGAATAATTGCAAAATGTAGCTAAATTTAATAATAAATGGTAAATATTTTGATTTTTAATACTTTTGGTTATTTCTAGACACGAGTTGCAAATTTGCTCGGAGTTGCTGGAACAGACGTGCCTATACAGGACATTAAGAGACTTATGATGCCTCATGTGGTATGTTGAAAGAAATTTAAATTTTTTAGGTCCTTACTGTAAATGTAATTTGTCAAATGTAGAAAAGTGTACATTTAGTTTAAATCGGTTGATCTGTGCGCCCGAAAGCGTGGACAAAAAATTGTATCCATACATACATACACACACTCATACACACACACATACTCACACATCCATTTTTTGTGAGGTATGCCAAAATGTTCAGAAACCTTCAAAACGTAAAGAAATGTAAATAATTTCAATTTCGATTTTTGGACGATTACAATAAATTACCCTACAATGAGTTAAAAATATTGTCAATTATTAATCTTCTAAATTTAAATCAACTTTCCATTCCAGGTTGGTGTAAATGCTTATGCTTTTATAGTCACAAACAACGGCTATATACTAATTCATCCTGATTTGCGTCCAGTGGTACGTAATTTTTTATAGTAATATGATAAAATTATAAAATTAAATTTATTAACATATTTATTATTTAGTTTCAAGGTATTCTTAAACCTGCTTACAACAGTGTGGATATGGTAGAAGTAGAATTAGTAGATGACAATGGTGGTCCACGAGATTTTAATGTATCCTTGCTGGCGGTAAGTTGGATAATTGATAAAAAAAATTTAAATACTTTTGACAAATCCAAGTTTTTGGACTACTCTCACTGCTTTCATAGAGTTTCATATAATCACATTACCTTATAGAATTGTAAATTGTTCTGATTCCCTTTGGAAAGTTAATTGAAGCAGAAAAAAATTGGACTATGGCAATATTAACTTCATAACCAGTCTCTTTTTTTCAGATAAGAGATGCTGTAATCAATCAATCCTCTGGTAGCAGATGGATGCAAGTGAAATACCACCTCGATAGCATGGTAAATATTTTTGTGAAAATATATCGAAATGGCAATGAACTATATAAATCACGATTATCTCCCACAGAGACGTGTATCCAGAATACGTCGCCAATATTATTGGACGCAAATCAAAGGTACACCATTCACGTTGGTGTTAACCATTCCTGAACCATATGGTTTACATCGCCTGCAGGTCGGGCCTTTGCAAGAAATTCACAGAATGCATGTGAATGGTGCAAATACGTCAAGTTATTTTGTTGAAAGAAATTGGCGAATTCACCCTGATTGGTAATAAAAGATAATATTTCATATTGAATTTGTTTGAAGAATTAGTTTTTCAATATAAATATGATTTTACAGGCTTTATTGCAAACAAAGCGATAAGTCATTCGCCACTCCAGAAGATGAATTGATGTACTTCTTGGAGCGAATGGATAGACCTGGTTGGAAATGGCCATCCAGGACACCTTATCCTCCACCAGAACATCATGCTGCACTATATTGTAAGTAAAATCAGTTACAAAAGTAAAGTCCTTTAAACAATGTCTAGTTATTATCTGTTGAAACATTTCTTACTTGCATAAATTTTCCATATATTTCTTAATATCAAAAATATTATTTAAAGTGGTGATGTATGGTTTTAATAATTCGCAGCAAACATGTCGTCAACTAACAAAAAGTTTAAACCTGACAAGGAACCATATTTCTGTGAGTAAAGTCTGCGTGAAAATACAGCACAAATTGCACAAAGTTATATCCCACAGAAGTATTTTAAAAGCACTTATTTGAGAGGAGTACAAGCATGTATCAAAACGATTCATTTCTGATCCTTTCAAACAAAATAGAGAATAATTATTGTTTCCAGTTTAAAAGTAAATTTCTCACGCTTTAATTTTAGAAAATTATGTTATAAACTTAGTATGAATATTTGTGCATCATGAAAATTGGAGACAAATTATTTGCACTACTTGAATACATATCAGAAAAAAATCATCTCAGATTGACAATAAAATAATTATTTCAATCATGAAAAATTAAATATTCGGACTAATTAACAATGGTTCTTACTTATACTTTAGTTGTATAGGTTAATTACAAAAAGTTATATTTTAATTGCCCTGTATATAATATTTTATTATTTATATTTTTTTAGTTGGATCATGCCTAATGAATCGTTTTGCAAATGCACATGTAACTAAAAGTATTGAGCACAATAAGCACCAGTAACAATCACCTAAGTAGTAGTCACTATGTATAATTAGGACCCTATAATATATAAAAAATAATAATACATAAAAAAATAAATTAATTATCAAAATTAATCATTTTTCATCAATTTCAGGTGACAGAACTTTAATGCAAAACCTTGTGTTCGATGCTCGGGTCACCCAATGGTTTTCTCAAGACATTAACAGCGTGAAAGACCCAAGGTGAATATTTATAGAATTTTATTTGATACTTCTTGAGAGCTTTAGGTAGATAAATATCACAAACATTAAATAAGAAACAGCAGCATTGCCTGTATAATAAATTAACTATATTTATAAAATTAAAATTAAATGAATCTGTATTTCAAAATAATGGAGAATGTCAATAATTGCATAATATCTCTTTCAAAACTCATTTGCAACAATGCTGATTTGGATTAGTAAAAAATAGTATAATTTAAATCATAGGTTCCCAAAGTTGTTTGTGTCGAGGACCCCTCATAGACTCTGCCATGGACCCCCTAGTTATCCGATATCGATTTTTTGATAAATTTGTATTTGTACTAACGTTTAGTATTAAACATTTAATGTAAACTAATCCAAGTTAAGACATTCAATAATTGACTTCATAATAATAATAAAATAGATATTAATAAGGTGTGTTGTGATCCACTATCATGGATCTCCATCAGGGGTCCATATAGACCACTTTGGGAATCACTGGTTTAGATTTATAAATATATAGAATTAGCGTTAACTCAATTGTCATTTCCTAATCCCAAAATGGTATATAAGAATTTAACTTCTAGAGGTTTAATCATTGTTGTTAAGTTCTTATAAAATAAAAGCACATTCATTAAAATTGCACCATTGGATAGCCCTAACCCCATCGCTTTGCTGATGGTATTGTTGCCCAGGTAATGTAAATCATGTGGTATTACACAAAACTGACTTTATTTGTATTAAAAATTGTGGTAGAATTTGAATTTAATTTGAAGAAATGATAAATGAAAGACTTGACAAATATCTAGATTTGCTGAAGGATTTTGATCAATTCTACTATTATTATGCACAAAATAAAATGAAACATATTACAATTTTCAAAAGTAACTTACTATACTCCGTTAGCTTGATGTCACTACATTCTTATAAAATTTTATGACATGGTCTAGGAATAAGTTCCGGTGATGCTGATGGCCATCATTCCTTTTATCATAAAAAATCTTAGTCAGTGATACCATATTGTACCTTAAGGGGGGAACCTGATTTAGAGGCTTGAAAAAAAATCGATTTTTTTTGCAAAAATGTCTTCCAATAATAGCCAAGCCATTATTTCCGAACCAAATTCAAATTATTTTTGGAGTTATAGAAGAAATAGTGAGCAAGCAAATGTCTAAAAAAAAACATAAAAAAGTCATAATTGAACTACTTTTTGAACAATCTAAAGTGATTTTTTTTTCATAAAAAAGCATGATATTTTTTCAAGTTGTAAACAATTTGTGTATTTCTCAATTGTATCTGGATTTTTTAGGTTTAACTAGAATTTGTACTATTGAAAATATATATTTGTTTTGATTTTTTTGTTTCGGATGGAAATTGTGACCTGCATCTTTCTCGCCAAATGACACCTACGCGCTCGAGGCGCATTCTTAAAATGCTTTTACCCGGCATATTATGACATATATCTTGAAAAAAAAATTGAGAAGAATGTTGACATATATAACAATAAAACCTGAAAGTTTCGTTTGAATTAAATATTTAGTTCCTTCCCTAAAAATTCATCAAAAAAGCCTCTAAAGCAGACCCCCCCTTTGATAATCATTTGTAAGCCATTTTGATAATCATTTGTAGTTTTTCTCCAACAGAATACTATTGGTAACATTCTTTATTCGAGTATTATTTCACAACATCTCCAAACATATTTTATAATTTTTAATTAATATATATATTTTGGCTATTTTATATTGTTTTTCAAGTTAACATAAAATAGATCTTTTTAGCAAACTTTGGACAAGGTAAATTGTTTTCATCAAATCTTTATACTTTTCAGGGTGCTGAACAAATATATTTAATTTATTTTAATCATATTCGTTATAATTAATACTTTATTTTAATTTTCATGCTTTCTTAGGAAGGAATTTATTAGAAGATTTGGTTTAACCGTAGTATTTGTAGCTACCCACAGTGGTCTAACCAGGTGGAAAGATTTTTATGGTGATGATATGAACCCTGACGTGTAAGTAGATAGTTTTAAATTGAAATTATGATTTTTATGTCCATGTTTTTAATGTATAATATTTTTGTTTTAGACACGATTTTAGTGAAAAACATGCTAAATCAATTGACGAAGTGTGGTATAGAAGAGCTGTTGAACAGTATATTATCGAGAAACAAAGTTTTGTATATTCGGTACCATTTGATGTTGGTAAGTGATCATTAAAATTAAATAAATGTGTTATGAACCAATATATAACATTTTATATATATTGTAGGAGATCGTAATGACACTTTAGTAACTGCAAGTCACGCCATTTACCATTCCGAAGAACGTCAAGGGCAAAAATCTAGCGCACCAGCCGCTGTGGTAGGAATGCAATTTCGTCACTCTGCTTTGGCACAACTTTTCAGAAACATCACCAGTTCGGTAAATAAAACTAAATCAAAATCAGATTCATTAATTTCAACCCATTTTTAATTTTTTATATCTATTAGTGCGGAGAATCAGTCAACTGTGCCAAAACATGCCAGAGTGGTGATTTGGATTGTTATGCTTTGGACAACAATGGTTACGTAGTTGTTGGCAGTTCTGCTGAGGATACTGGTAAATTCTTTGGAGAAGTACGACCACATTTGATGTTGCATTTGATCCAGGACCGAGTTTATAGACAAATAGAAATAGTTGATTATCAAGCTGTGTGCTTCAAACCAACTGAAACTAGCAATCCAGCTTCTAAATTGTCTGCGGTAAGATAAATGAAAATTGATAGACATCTCTATTGTTTTATTCTCTAAGTATAATTCTAATATCGTAAAACTGTATAATTATATTTTCATACTTTATTATATTAAATTCCGAAATAAATCTTTGGTTATAGACGCTTCAACTGATGAATATTTTGGATTGGACAATTAGTCGATTGATTTGGATTCTTTCTTTGCTTGTAAATGTTCATGGATATGCGTTCAGTTATTCAAATGATGAAGGTGGGTATGGAATATATCTTAAACTGTTAATAGATATTGTAATTTTTTAATCTGTCTGAATTTTAAATACTAATTATCTGAAGATTTTGTCAAACATCGACTAACCAACATTTATGAAACGACAACATACTTTACCCTAATTTATAGTAATTTTTCAATATGCTGAATTAATTTTAAGCAATGTACGACATGAACTATGAAAGTGGATCATCAGGACCTGACTTCTTCACAACTGATAATATACCAGAATCCACAACATCTCAACCAGTGTCAAATCAGCCAAGAAAATGGAATATGATGTGCGAGTACTGATTAACAGAACACGTCCTCAGCCATGTGATCAACAGGTATAGATCAAACTATACCATTGAAAAATTATATGATGCAATTTATTAATTAGTTGGTAATTTTTAGGTGCTTTTGTATCAACTTCAACAATTTCGAGAAGGAGAAAGAACTCCTTACAATTTACCTGCAAAAGGTTGCGATCGGTAAGTAAGGAATCAGACATCTAACAAAATTGTTAAAATCAAATTTGCCCGAACAACAGCAATTGCACCCAAATGCCTTTCGGGTAAAATGTTAAAATGTTAAATGCCAGTATTTTTAAACTATAAATAATTAGATAATAAATGGAGTAATTAGAAATAATCATTTACTTTTTCAGACCATATGTAGTGCAGATGATTCCATACAGTAATTTGATTCTACTAGTAGCTGATGCCCTGTGTCTCCAGCGCGACACAGTACCATATTTGGTCACCATACCTTTTCCTGTAGATTATAATGCCACTTTGGCCTGTCATAAAGCAAAACACAACAATGAGCTACCAAGAAAACGACCTACTAGCTGTATTAGCAGGCATCATAATGTAAGAATATTAAATATAAACTTGTTTGTGGCTCCAGCGATAATTGCTTTGGTCTTCCATGGCTCCATTTTTGTTGCACAGTTTGAATATCAAGCAGTGGTGACATCAGTTGTCACTTAAAAATAATGGCCTTATGTTAATAATGATAAACTAATCTTTTGAAGCCGTTTCAATATTTTCTTAATCGAGAATCAGGAAAATTCATTGGACTTCTAATAAATTGACATTTCATCTTTTTAACTATTTTTGTCAGTAAAATTTGGACTTATTTATAATAAATATAAACTTATTTGCGGCTCCAGCGGTAATAGCTTTAGTCAATGGCTCTATTTTCGTTGGACAGCTTGATGTCAAGCACTAGTGACGTCAGTTGTCACTTAAAAATAATAGCCTTACGTTAATAATAAACTAATCTCTATTTTTTATCATAATAATCATAATTATCTCAATAAAATTATCTTTTTTTAGAAAGGTCAGGAAATTTAATTGGACATCTATTACCACATCTTTTCGACCATTTTTGGTTATTAATTTATTTGTAATATACAATGGTACCTCGACTTACGAGTGACTCGATATACGAGTGTTTTGAAATACAAGGCGCCCAAAAAACGTTTTATTGCCTCAACATAGGAGCAAAATTTCAGATACGAGCTTTGGGTCAGGAAATTTAATAGGGCATATAATACCACATCTTTTTGACTATTTTTGGTCATGAATTTAGTTTTAATATACAGTGGTACCTCGACTTACGAGTAACTTATTATACAATTGTTTTGAGATACAAGCCGCCCAAAAAACGTTTTGTTGCCTCGACGTAGGAGTAAAATTTGAGAAACGAGCTTTGGGTCAGCAAATTTGATAGGGCATATATTACCACATATTTTCGACTATTTTTGGTCATCAATTCATTTTTAATATACAGTGATACCTCGACTTATGAGTGACTCAATATACGAAAGTTTTAAGATACGAGCCGCCCAAAAAACGTTTTGTTTTTTCAAAAAAAACATATCTAACTCATTTCCACAATATCATAAATGGGCAGGGAAAAACAATAATTATATAGTAAATTTGTTTTTATATTCAAAACACTTACAAACCACTTTGCTGGAACGAATTAACGACATTTCTATGTATTTATATGAAAAAAAAAGAGATATGAGCGATTTGACATACGAGCGTGAGTATGGAATAAATTAAACTAGTATGTCGAGGTACCACTGTATATAAACCGCCTTAAAACAGTTAGATAAAAAACTAGATAAAAACTTGTTCCAAACCATATTCAAATTTCTTATTTTTCACTAATTTTTCATTACTATTTCAGGAAAGCTCGATAGAATTATGCGGTGACGGATCATCAATGTCTCCATCAAAACTCATCCTAAGCTTACTATTTCTAAATATACTATCAATGATTTTTTCCACGTAACCTTATAAAAAGTGAATTAGGTAAAAATAAATTACGGGTTTTCATAAACATCTATTTGATAATTAACTTTTGTACAAAACTAAAAAGATAAAACGCTTTTTCGCTAATATTTAGATAATATTAATGTACATCAATACAGGCGATTTTTGTCGATAATCATAATGCATAGTCATCTTGTTGTTTTGAATCTCATATTAGATCATTTTTATAATATTTTAAAAAACATTTAAAATAAGACTTTGTTTTTTCCTTTGTGCATTCTTTAATATTGTTATGAATAATTTTGAATTATATATTAAATTATTAGATATACGTATATAGTATATACATTTATTAATGCAATGTTTATGATCGATTTGAGATGTAAATTTAAGTAAAATTTGTATGTTTTTAGGCAAAACAGTGAATTAAAAGTATCTTCAAATTTGATATTTTGAGGATAAATTATTTTTGTAATGAAATAATTTCGAATTAAATGCCAAAACAATGTAATACTTCTAGATAGTCATTATTTAAAATTTAAAAATATATATAACACATTTAAAAGATTTTTAAGCTATTATTGTAAAAATATAAGCAAAGTTATTTAAATTGAAACGAAGTTTTATTTCATTATATAAAAATTTAAAATATTCCTTCAAGCACAAAACTGAGAAACGATAATCCTCATCGAGATACAGATACAGATGGTTTTTAAATTTCTGAAATCGGTTTAGGCGGTTTTGAGCAAACGTCGATGAAAGGTCTAATTTTGACAAGTACCAAAAAAACGATACTAATTTTTACAAACTTTGACAATTTTTTAAAGTTAAACGAGTTGTCGTAATAATAACAATAATAATAATAATAGTCGAAAAAAATTTTAACTGCCAAAAACTAATCAACACGATTCCCAACCAGTATCTTTTCGATTCAGAATAACGGGCTAAAATGTGGATGAATCTTTTTTTACTTTTCTACTATTTATAAAGAAAAGGCTTAGCCGATCGTTGCACAAAACTGACAAACAATAGTCCTCATTGAGATATATCGAATGGCTTTTAAATTTTTGAAATTGGTCTAACCGTTTTTGAGAAAGATTTACTCATACACACATACTTTTTCCTTTAGTCTCATTCGATTCAGAATGGCTTGAAACGTCGAGAAAACACAAAATTAGCGAATCGAATTTTTTGATAAAAACATAATTCATTAACATTCTCCTTCGGGAAGTCAATAATTTAACAAAAACTTGTTCATAAACACATTCATGTTTTGTTGATCTTTCATTTTCTTGGCAGATCTTTAATTTATTAACAACTACATTTACACACATCAATAAAACCATTTATTAAAAAATATACATAGAACTGTAATATTATTTCAATCATCCACTTGCCAAAGATTTCTAACGCTATTAGAAATATTCGACAAACTATTTTCACAAACGGTTGATCTTATTTTTTTAATCTCGATACAGAAAGTTCCACATGTATTATTTTCATTTTCGGCTGATTTCATTAGAACCTTTCCCAATAGTATTTCCAATAAAAATACATTTATAGAAATTAGTAATCCGGCTGTGTATACGTAAAATGCCGTTTGCATATCTTCCAAATCAAAAGCGAAAATAGGATCTTCATAAGTCATATTGTACCTAAAATTAGAATTAGGATAATTCTTCAACTACAATTATTTTTCGTTTATATTTGGTTCACGCATTTATGTTATTTTCTTATTGTTTTTCCAATTGTACAGAAATAGATTATTATATTTAGAGCTATTATTACAATGTTATTTACAGAGAATTATTCTATTTTTACTTGTAATACCTGTATCAATATTTTGATGATATACGATATATGAACGTTCAAATTATTTATAATAGATTATTATATTTAGAGCTATTATTACAATGTTATTTACAGAGAATTATTCTATTTTTACTTGTAATACCTGTATCAATATTTTGATGATATACGATATATGAACGTTCAAATTATTTACAGCAGATTTTTACTCTAAAGTATATTTTTTTATATCATCTATCTCTGTAGTTATTATTTAATTTGATCACATATCACATTTCCACAAAAATATAGTTAAAATGACACTTGAAGTATTCAATTCAAATTTAACCTGAAAGGAAGAGCAATTTCGTATACAGAACGATCAAACCACAAAAATGTAAGTCCAGCTTCAATATATCTTGAATCATTTTATCAAAATCAGGAAGCATTGGCCATCCAACTCTAACAATGTATGATATATGATAATCCCTTGGACATTCAGGGATTACGTGGACTTGACCATACATACTAACATAAATAAAAAATATTACATTAATACATTATTTATGTAATTAAATGTCAGGTGATAGACACATGATATATGGTAGTGGTATTCACCCATTTTAATAATTATAAATCGAAATACAAACTACGCAGTATTCTTCATACATTGCAGTAACCATGCAAGCGTTGATAAAATTTCTTAACAAACCAGAAAATATGCCTTAACAATTCAGTAAAGCGTAGATTTGCACTAGGCAGTGACATTGAACAAGGATTACAATGTCACATAGAAGCAGGCACATAAATACCAAGCAATGACGCATTTGCAAGTCAGTTGTCATCAAGTTTTCAATAAGTTCACATCAATATAGTTCAGTCAATATAAGTTAGTAGTACTTTAGTAATCAACGAAATTATATTTGAGGTTAGTTGTTCAATTTATATGCAAAGTGAACAAGAAGTCATGAAAATATATAGTAAAAATTATAAAAACATGATATGCATCCACGGGTCTCTAAAAATGTACAATTAAACAAAACCCAAAATTTATGAACTTCATTCATTGTAGCCTGAACGCTAATTCTATTTTAATTGTTCAACATTGTATTTCCAATTTATATTTTTATCTACTTACGTGACTGTTTCCAATAACTTGGCATCATCATAACGTTCCACTGATGCAATATTTCTATTTTTTGCGACAAGTTTTATACTCTTCCTTTTTTCTGTAAGACAAAGTTTTCGACCAAGGGCGTTTATCACCTCATCATCGCTACCACTTCCGAATAAATCCATCATACCAGGAGAACTAGTGTAAATATAAAGGCCTGATTCATCCAAATCTTCTAAAGTATTTATGTCAGGATAATATATAGTTGCGGTGTATGCTTTGGTTAAAGAACCCTAGAATATGTTTTATCAGTACAATAAATTGGCAATTTGTAATTAAAGTTCCTACCTGGAATGTTCCAGAAACAACTATATTAAATACCAAACATCCAGCAATGAACACTTGTTCAGCAGCATTGTTACCCAAATATGTTACTGGTCCAGATGTCATCAGTATAAACATATTATATTGTATTTTTTCAAAACCTCTTAACTTTTTATCTTTCGTTATAAAATATTTGCATAACAATTTGATTCCATACCAAATGCAACCACACAAAATATTCAACAAAGCAAAGATCATCCAGACAGTGTTCTTGAAACAATGAAATAACGCTCTCCATTGAGGAATCTCTTGAGATTTTGGAACCACTACACACATTTGATCAGTTAATATAGGATGTACAAATCCAATTTCATGAGAATCATAATATTTTACAAAACGGCTGTTTATGTTTATGTCGGCTTGGTGATAAAGAATATCTCCGGCTGATCCGAGAAAATTTGGGTAGTATCATCCTTGAAACCATATCGTTCTTTTGATGATATAATGACTCTTGCTGTTAAATTCAGATCACTGGCCAAATTTTAAAACAACTGCATCCAATCCCTTCATTTCATATGCAGCTTCAGTTTTGTTATTGATTTTAGTGTCGTTGATTTTATTTACTAACGCTGTAGGATATCTGTGAAAAGCACTTAATCTCAATGGATAACCATTGTAATCAGTAACTTTTCTTGTTATTAGATGATGATTATGATCTATACCTTTTTGTACAAGACCATAGGTTCCATTTTCTTTACCAAAAGGATCATACCAATAAAAATCGTTTAGACCACCAAAGCAGGTGAAAATTAAAACATTTTTTATTCCATAATGATTCCATAATTTTACCAGCATGGACTTCACTGTTACATCTGAATCATTTGTTGCATTTTTGGTTATGATAACGATAAATTGAGACATCGGTGCAAAAAATGGATACCGTCGGACTCCTTCAGTATATAATTGTAACAAGTCTTCATTTTCCACAATAATCAGAAGATTTTTTACAACGTTTTGTACAGGTATGTCGTTATAATCTATAGTAACATTTGGTTCCAAAGGGATTTTTTCGCCATTCCAATAAAAAGTGTCAAATAACGAATATCGGTCACTTTCTTATAATTTAAAATTTCAAATCTAACAGGGTGTATATTTAAGTGCATTATATGACTTACGACTTCATTGTAAATTTCAAAATACGATGAATTCTCATTTGATAATTTCACAATTATAACTTCTTTATACTTGCCAAAATTATTTTTATAAACCTCCCAAAATAAAGTATTTTTCAGAATATCGCAATCGCAATTGTTGAAAATATTGCTTAAGATCTCATTTATTATTAAATCACATTTTATCAAAAATATAAAACCATGAAAACAAGAAGTTTTGAGTGATTAAAATACATGATTTTCTTTTACACATGACTTATTGAACTAATTTTCTCGTTTAGTGTTTCCTAATTGCCCTTATATGTGAAAATCATAAATAAGTCATACGAAAACAAATCGAATTCTTGGAATGTATTATTAGAAAAAATATTTTGCCAGGTGCCAATCATATTCAAGGGACATTATATAAAATAATATCCACATGTCAAACACGTGTTATATTCGTCATATAAAATATTTATATAATGATTAGATGTCGTAGATTGCAAACTTTGTAGATTTAATATAGAATAATAAATGGTCGCAAATTATGAGGAAGATAGTAAATATATATATATATATATATATATATATATATATATATATATTATATTTTGTTTTTTTCCGTGAGGCCCGGGCCTAGGGCGGCACAATTTGGGGGGCGGCAAATTTTTTCGATTTTTTTTTGTCACGGCAATTTATTTTAAGGATTGATCTTGATCTAGATAATTCTCTATGAAATAGAATGTTATTCGTTTTCTAATCAAACTTATTCAATTATTTTCTTATCTCATTAATATTTTTAGTGATGTATCATATTTAAAATAAAAATTATCAAATTATTAAGCCTTTTTGTGAGAAATAAAATAAAATAAAACTATTGGGGTGTATGGCATTGTGCCTTTTTACAATTATATATAAAAACGCACAAATTAATAAGACGCAAATACAAATAAAAACGTATTTAATACAAATAATACTTCACAATCAAATCAAACATATGAATCAAACAGAACTAGATGCAAATATTAGCAGTAATAACTTCGACCATCTCGCACGAAGGTTGAATTATGACTGATTGTGAGGTACAATAAACTTTTCGTATTGCACCCTCTATGGTTCCGAACCCGAAACTATTCAATTAGATAACAATTTTTGAATTTAGTATCATCTGGTAACAATTCATAGTTTTGTCCCTTTCTGACCCCAATAAAAGAAGTGCGTACTAACAACTAAAATCACTCTGTATTTGGACCTTTCGGTGGATACTACAGTCAGTGGTAAGTCTTTCAAAAATATTTATGTATTATGTAATCATTTCGTGCATTCAGTTTCAAATATGTGTCATAGAACTTGTGTTTTGGATTCGATTTGACTTGATTTTCTGTTGAATTATAATTATAAGAATATAAATAAATTGAAGTAAAAATTCGTCTCTTTAATATTAAACGATTTGCGTTACATTTTCTAATCTAATATATTTGTGCTGAAGTGTCGCCTTAGTGTTTATTGTTGTGAAAATATTTAATTTTAGCCTTTGAATTAACATAAATAATTTAATGCAATCTTTAGATTATTAAATTTAAATATAATTAAATAATTTTAAATTTTAATATAAATCTTATGTTTCAAATATTTACGATTGACTACATTTGTTTTGTTTCAGACTTCATACAGCGTTTTGCGCAGTGGCGGATTGCTTTAAGGATTTATTGTGCATGATTTTTTTTTATTCAATCACATTGACAATTTTTAATTATTTTTTATAATTTTGTTAAATTATAATTTTGAGTTATTTGCGTCCACATTTTAATTTTTTTTTTTGTTCGTGCGAGACTTATTCGTAATTTTAATATCGTTTAAAACAATTTCCGCGTTTAAATGTGTTCCTGTCGCCTACCCCCCACGGCAGGTTCTAGTAATTCGCGTTTCGTTAATTTTTTTTTTTCATTCGGTGTATGGGTCCTTGCGATGTTTTTCCCAGAAGCAACGCAACCCCATACACTTTAATTTCTAATTAGAATTATATGTACAATGTTTAATTTTTTGGAATTATTTTATTAGTAGCATGGATGTAAATAACTCGTCTAAAAATTTAAAAACTTTGTTAAATAAATTACTTGTTTTTATTTTGACTGATTTTTCTACTGTGATCAATGAACATATTTTAATTAAATAATTTAATTTTTTTGTGTTTGCACAATAAGTCTCCTAAACGGAGAAATGTTGAAGACGTTTTGTTTAAAAAAAACTGTTTTGTTTAATAAAAAAAAGGTTAGATGATACAAAACCCTAAATTATGTAAAAAAATAACAAAATTGACATTTATTTTAGTGTAAATGGGCCTCGACTAAAGATACCAGGGGGTTGATATGATATACCACAGAACTGGAATAAATACTAGTAGGCTACCACATAGTATTTATAAGTTATTGTCTATTTCATTTCTTTCAAGTCACTTTTCATTTCAGGGTTGCAGAATTAATTTCTCACCGCGACGGCAAGCACCAGGACTGCTAGGAGATTGTAGTGGATTAAAAAGGTTGAAGGTACCCTTTTTGGGTGCAATGACTGCTACTTGGTACATCTTAGCATTGCGTTTACCAATATACAGGGTTTACCTTGGCGCTCCAATCTGACTTTTAATAAGAACCGGTAATTATCTGTAGAGTGCGTAACTAACTACACGAATGAAACATAGGGACCGATTCTGCGCTGCCGCAATGTTATGATAAGTTCATGTTATGAAGAATTTTCCATAGTAATATAGACAAAAGTTATGCGGTTGGTGTTCAGTCAGGCGAATTTCTCAGGTCTTCTCATACAAAACATAACCTAAAGCCGCACAAATGTCAAAAAAACGATGTTAGATAAGTGTGTGTTTCTCATTCCTCTTAGGTAACATACGAGTGACGTTGCAGTTTATGCTTAAAACGCCGGAATGAACAGCAAATACCTGATATTTTGACAGCATTCAGTATGATTCATTCGCATAATGTATGGGGAGTCGGAGCGTAACATAGCCATTCCGTAACATTTCTCTGTTATGCGCAGAATCGGTCCGAGAATCTATACTTATTAATTTATTTAATGTTACCTAGTTGTGTTCGTCGTAGGTGCCAAGATATGACTGTATTTTTGTAGTCATGTCTTAAGTCTAAATTCTGATATGCTATTGTTTTGGTTGATCATAAAGCTTAAAATTATAGATGTGTATGATACGGCGTGATCACAAAGGGAATCGCTTACAATCGGAGAACTTTCACTTTTTCTGGATTGTGTGTTCTTCGCCCATGGAACAACGCACGCACCACTATGCACTAACTGCCTCGAGGGCTTGTGTACTTCCGACTCGATTGACTACCTCAGAGGACTGATACTTAAAAAGTGATTGCGTCTTTGTAACGACAGCATACAATGTTTCCAAAGAGTTGCACAACCTTTAGTGCAAACTACATCCGCCGCCCGCCTATATGGTTCCTGTCGTATGTGGTCCAGAGTCGCGATAAAGACTACATACATCATTTCCAAGGAGTTCCTAAACTAAATCCCCACCTGCCTATAAGGCTCCTATCGTATGAGGTCCGGAGTCGCGATGGTTTTTTAGTATCAGTCCTCTCAGGTGGTCAATCCAATACGGAGGACACAAGTTAGTGCATTAGTGATGGTTGTGATGTTGTGCCAGGGAAAAAGAACACGATCTAGAAAAATCCGATCGAGTTTTCCGATTTTAAGCTTTCCCCTGCGTAATTACGCCGTTCTATACATTATTAATAATTTCTAGCTTTATCATTACCCCATCGTTAGTACATTCGAATTTAGGCTTAATGCATCGCTATACATAAGTGCGGTCAAGCTCTCGGATCTGTAAACATAACTCGGTACCAATCAATAAGTTGGGTAAGTAGATCTGTTTTAATTGTGTAGTTAGTTAAAATTTCCACTGGTAACTGCGGGTTTTGTTGAGTCGAATTAGGGCGCTAAGGTAAACCCTCATATTGGGGAGTGAGATGCTAAACATACCAAATAGCAATCTTTACACTCTAACAAGAGTACCCTTAACCCTTTTAGTTCACCTCAATATGGATACCTACAGGTTTTTCTCGTATTCATAAGAATAATATTAAGTAATTAGACCTTGGTTAGATAAAGTATATAATATTTTTATTTTTTGTTACCGCGGCCCCGTTTGTATGTTTGCCCATATTTTTAGGGACACTCGTGTTTTTTTATGTCATTTCAGATGTCTTTCCAAGAAAATTGCTTATCAAGTGAGTATCAAGAACTACTTCCACAACCATAGGAGAAATTGGTCAGACTAATTGATTTATCAAGACATAAAAAATATTGGCATACTGCTAAGTAATATGTATAAATCTTTTTTTTTATTTCAGGATTACAGAATTAATTTCTTTTCGCACCACAAAGCACCAGGACTTCCAAATAACTGCCAGGAGGATATGCCTATACACCAGGAGGTTTTTATCGTACTATTGTTAATTAGACCTTAGTTATAATCATATATTCTTTCATTAATATAACCGGGGCCCCGTTTGTAAGTTCGTCCCTATTAGGGGCATTTGTGTTTTTTTTTTTCTCATTTCAGATATCTTTCAAAGAAGACGTTGTATTTTATGTTTTTCCAAGATATACACGGACCACTAAAAGACCACTAATTAAAGGATATGTGCAAGTGGGTACCAAGAATTACTTCTACAACCCATACAAATAAATGTAATGAAATTCTATGTTTACCTCTTTTTAGGTCTTACGCGAAATTTGCCAGAAAATGATATACTCAAAACCAACTAGCACCACTACACCTGAACCTACTGCCTACAACTGAATTGGAAGATTTGACATAATCGAAAGGAAGATTAACTATGAGATAAGACTTTCTATTATTATTGTATAGTTAGTTATATTATATTATTGTATTATAGTAGTATTTAGTTAATATCAGGTAGGGGACGTTTTGACATTGAAATCTTCGCTCGTACCTTTTTTGGGGTTGTTCGTGTACTTTTATTCAGAGCTCAAAAGGGTGGCGTCATGAAAGAACCTTTCTTATATTTTTCGCGCTCTTCTTTACATTAATCAATTAATTATCACTTGTCCTTAAACTTTATAGGCTGGGAACCTATGAAGTTTTTTTTTCCAAGTGTTACATGGTGGATCTGGGGGGTACATCATGTAAATGCTCTTTTTTATAAATTTACAATCACCACCGCTAAAATACTAAGTACGCATTTTATATTGATTTTTTTCTCTACCACGAGAGGTTCTTTTTCATTTTAAAACCGAAATTTTTTGGTACATTAGGTCATTTCGCGGGGGTTCTTCTCTTCGCGATATATTCGGGTCAGATAGGTATATTAGTTTGTAAGTTAGTTTAAGTGGATTAGGGCTGCACAAATCGATACTTAGTAGTATTTACACTATATCCATTTCCATCTGAAATGTTGAAACGTAAATATGAATAGAAGTATCTATTTCTGTGGCGACACCACATTAAAAAAACGCGCCTGGCAACTTTACCCCATGGGTGGTGAGGAAAAAAGTTGCATCCTAATTAAGTACATATAATTATCAGAATTAAAATATTTAAATAATTATGTTAATAAATAAACATAAAAATAGTTGTGCGCATCACTGATAATTAACTAATATCGAAATATCTTAAAATAAAACTTTTGCAAAATAATCTTTGCTTTTTAATATGTGGTTAATGTTATTTTTAAATTTTTTTTTCAGAACTTGTTATTTTTAAATTTTTTTTTCAGAACTTCATAAAGAATTATTAGATGCTTTCAGAAAGAATATTGTCGATAATTATTAATTTTGAATTAGTTGAAAGAATACTATAAATACTACAATGCGAAGAGTTATATGGTTTTTGATAAATATATTTTATCTCTTCGCATTGTAGTATGTTTATAGTATTTTTTCAACCTCTAATTCAAAATCAATAACTATTAGGTTATAGGTTAGAGGTTGTTAAAATGAATAGAAAGTTCTTTGAATCATTCAATCGAACGCTTAGTTCTCTCAAAACTGCCATTTTTTGCACATTTAGCTGGGTATCTCCAAAACGGCTGGACCTGCCTTTGCCAAAAGCTAATTACCACTTCTCCCCATCATTACAAATTGAATGTTTTTTAGATCATTCAATTGGATGCTCCGTTCTCTCAAAAACTCGATTTCTATTTTCTGCACTCTTTGCTCCGTAACTCCGAAATTACTATTTAAAATTACTATAACTTACCCAATGCAAAGTTAAAACTTATATCTAAATAATTTAAAATAAATTGTTTAATTGAAAAAGTAAATTTTGTTTATTAAAAAGGGCGCTTGAACGGATAGGGCCTAGGGCGGCAGAAAGCTTAATCCGCTACTGATATCAAGACATGTCCTCAACGTCGAATAAAAAAACCTAATTATTATATATAATATATATATATATATATATATATATATATACAGTGGCGTCGGAACCGAGTGGGCTGGTTCAAAAAAAAAAAACAAGACCACACAGGCCCGCGAGCCCACCCATCAAAAATTAGCTTCCGACGCCTCTGTATATATATGTATATATATATATATATATATATATATATCTATATTTATAAGTTGCTTTGCTAATTCTTACCTTATCTTCGTCTTAAGGCACTACGAAAGTATGGGCAATGGAACTCAATCATGTTAGGATACTAATCTGCAATCAAAAAATATTTTTTAGTATAAATCAAATAAAGTAATTACACTCATTCTTTGGCATCATATCTAAATAAGTAACTAACATTAGAAGTTTTCTAATATTTAATATATTGTACGTGTAAGAGGTTTTCAAATTCAAGTAGTGATTGATTATTGACCTTAAAACATATTAGAAATTAAGAAACATATTAAAGTAAAATTCTACTAGTAAATGTTTTTTATATGAAAATTGTATCCACACAAAACACATACACACATAACATTCATTTTTTTCTAAGGTACGCCAAAATATTCAGGAGGTTTTGAAACGTAAATTCACCCAAGATTTTTTTCATTTTCATTTATTACTTAGGGACCTCTTCTGCCGCATAACAGACCAATGTTATGACAAGGCTATGTTATGAAAAACTTTTCATACAATTTTGTTCTAAATATTGACAAAAGTCATGGGGTTTTTGTGTAGTCAGGCACTCTGTTTTCAGGTTTCCAGAGTAACAACTCAACCTAGAAACCAATCTAGAAACCGTACAAATGTCAAAAAACGATGTTAGATAACAGGGTCTTTCTGACTCAGGTTTATAACATACGAATGACGTTGCAGTTCATGTGTAAAATGCCTGAATGCACAGCAAATACATGACATTTTTACAGTATTCAGTATGATTCAGTAGCATAATGTGAGAAAGTTGGAGCGTAATAAGGCCTTGCCATAACATTTGTCTGTTATGCGGCAGAATCGGTCCCTTAGCCTACATTCCTGCATAAATAGCTATAAATATTAGAAAATTTTTCTTTATTGCATTTCGATACTAAATATGTGTTTTTATTCAGCAGATAATACCAAGAAAAATAACAATAAAATTAAATATTATTAACCTCCCTTAGGGTAGTTATAGTAATGGGCCGAAATTCGAAAATAAAAATTTCTGCATTTTGGCATACCTCAGAAAAAATGGATGTGTGTGTGTGTGTGTGTTTTGTGGGTCCGCATTTTTTCGTTCACGTTTTCGAGCGCACCGATCAACCGATTTGAATGGTTCAAAACACATTCGCTTTCTATTGATAGGGAGATGTGCTGATTAGTTTTTGGCAAAAGCAGGTCCGGGCGTTTTTGCGAAAACTAAGCATCCGATTTGAATGATTCAAAAAACTTTCTGCTTGTTTTGGCAAAATAATTGCTTTTGAGAAAAAAAATATTTCAAATTTTTTTCCAAACTTTATTTTTAATTTTTTTTTTGTATATCCTAAAAAGTTCAGATATTAATTTTGATTCTGGCTAAAGTTCTAAAGAAAGAAGAATGTATTTATTGTCAGATTACTTGACTTGTTAAACACATTCCAAAGGAATAACATATTTTGATAAGAAGAGATTTTTAAATCTTTTCATTTATTTAATTTTCGTTTTTATTAATTTAATTTTTATTAAAAAATTGTTTTCATATAACTTATTGTTATATAAATCGATATATTGTTTTTGTTTTTTCTGTGTTTTTCTTTAAATTATTTGTATGCACTGCAGATGAGTCAAAACAGTATCCGAAAAGTTTGACAATAAAGACATTTTTTGGATGGATGTCCAATATTATATATATATATATATATATATATATATGTACATACATACATACGGTTTTATTAAATTACGTTTACATGATACTATCTCCTCTATCAAATTAAGGCAAATTGTGTTTGAATTGATTATTAGGCAAATTATACATGTACCATTAACTATCAGATATATAATTCATAACCTTTTGTATTTAGGAGCACTATTAACAAAACCGCTGAATTTATTAGAGATATAAAAATTTTCAGAAAATAAAATTTGATTTGAGCATGTATATAAATTGTGCATATTAAAAAAATTATAAAATAAAATTTAAAGAATTATCTTTGGATCGATTCAAAGGCGTATTATGCATTTCTCAAACCAATTCGAACATTCAATACTAGAATGTACCACAGTAGTTGCATCAGCTTCATAGAGAACAAACGAGAAATATCTAGAATAGAATATTCTAGTATATTCAGGTATATTCGCTAGGCGTATATATAGTTGGAGTCTCTTCTAAAATTGCATCAGTTTATAAAGAGAGTTGCATCAGATCATACGATAGTGAAAGAAAATTTTTGCGATTTTTTTTAGAACCGAACGAGGCGATTTTATTAAAAAAAACCTTCGAAACTACTTCAACAATTTATCAAACAATAAGGTAAGAATAATTTATATATAATATTAATTTCAATTGAATTATAAATATGGATTAGTGCAAATGCGCAATTTGTAATAAGTACATATTCCGTTGTAAGTACATTTATTCAATTGAATAAATTCTCTGGGATCAACCCATACCTAACAGCCCTTATTATAATTCAAATACTTTAAAATAAATTTATATTCCAATTTTTAAAATTAACACTATAAATTTTATTTGTTTTTTTTCAGAATTTCATAAAAAATTAGAAATCATGTCTCTTGTACCATTTTGGCGCATGATGCGGATGATGGACCATCATTTCAACTCGATGGCCCTTCGTCATGATTTTTTCACACCTCTAAGTGCAACATCTGTATTTCGTGATAACTTTTTCAAATCCTGGGACAATGAAATTTCTGTCAAAGATGTTGCATCATCCGTAACAACAGACAAAGATAAATTTCAAGTAAGTATTAGTGAAAAAAGTTTTATTAGTTTTAGTTTTTATTTCATATCAAGCGCTAATTGAGTTTCCTTATTCCACAGATTACTTTGGATGTGCAACAATTTAAGCCAAAAGAAATAACGGTTAAAACGAAGAACAATTGTGTCATTGTTGAAGGCAAACATGAAGAAAAACAAGATGAACATGGTTTTGTCACCCGTCATTTTGTAAGACGATTTATGTTGCCCCAAAACCACGAAGCATCTGATGTTGTCTCCAATTTATCATCAGATGGTGTCTTGACCATCACGGCACCAAAACGCGTTTTACCAGAAGATGAAAATGAAAGGGTTGTCCCTATAACACAAATGGAGAACAAAGAGGCTATTAAGAATTAATATAATACCCATACCTATTAAAAATAGTAATATAATACACATGTAGTATAAATACTGATTTGTAATATAAAAAATATATTTATGTAGTTGTAACTGTATATATTTATTGATGTTTATTAAACTTTGTGATATTTGATATAATTATGATGTATGTTTAAATAATAAATATACACATTTTTTTAATTGTCGCATTTCTTTGAATTTAAAAAAAATCTATAATTCTTTCAGTTAGAACCAAGGTCTCAAATGCAGTTCTCTTAATTTATATCATTTTGAACTGTTTTTGTTATCATAAAATATGTTTTTATGCAATATTTTCGTATTTTATACTGGATATTTTATATTGAAAGTTCTTTCTAATAGTGATGATATATATTTTAACTCATTGCATTTACAAAGCAAATCAACTAAAAATTGTTCCCACTACTTCTTGATATCGAGTTGTCCGAAACGCAAACTTGAACTCGGGACTTGTGATTATTACTAGAAGACGTCTCAAGATAATTCTTTCTAATAGTGATGATATATTTCAACTTATTGCATCATGATCTATTTCTATTTGCAAATATATTATGATCTACGATCTAGTAAAAATTGTTCCCACTACTCCTTGATATCGAGTTGTCCGAAACGCGGAATTGAACTCGAGACTTGTGATTGTTACTAGAAGACGTCTCATGATAATTCTTTCTAATAGTGATGATATATTTTAACCTATTGCATCATGATCTATTTTCATTTAAAATAAATTATGATCTACAATATAGTAAAAATTGTTCTCACTACTTCTTGATATCAATTTGTCCGAAACGCGGATTTGATCTCGGGAATTGTGATTATTACTAGAAGACGTCCCATAATAATTCTTTCTGATAGCGATGATATATTTTAATTTGTTGCATCATGATCTATTTTCATTTGCAAATATATTATGATATACAAAGTGAATCAGTAAAAATTGTTACCACTACTTCTTGATATCGAGTTGTCCGAAATGCGGATTTAAACTCGGGACTCGTAATTTTTACTAGAAAACAGTCTCACAATAATTCTTTCTAATAGTGATGATATATTTTAACTTATTGCATCATGGTCTATTTTTAATAGCTAATATATGATCTACATTCAAGTGAAAATTGATACCATTACTGCTTGATACCATCATTTGCACACGGAACTCTAATATAAAATATATATAAATTTAAATTTCAATCTCTAATATAAAAATAATAACCTAATCTAGTTTAATTAAAATAAAATTAAATTTGAAACGCAACAATCATTTTAGTACAATCGTCCCACTATTAATAAATTGTACGAGTACATACCAAAAGTTCATCAAAAATGAATCAAATATTAATTATATTTTATAATTTATACAGAGTTCTCAAATTTTGTAAAAATTTCACAATGCTAAAGTTATATATACTCATATAATAATGAAACTATAATTATTATATTCATATTTTTCCTTCATCATGTTTTATAATTATTCTAAATTTATAAATTTGCAGCAAAAAAATAAAATAATATAGATAATATAAAATTATTTATTCCGTACGATTCGACATTTATTTGTTGTTGTTCAGCAGTACTAAATTAAATAAATTGAACTTAAGAAAAAATTTCATTTTAGACATTTTAAAAATATATTTAATTATATAATACCAAAATTTAATTAGTATGTAATTTAGTACATTAATAAAAGGGTAACCACTGGGTTTTCCTTTTAAAATTTTATGTTATTTGTCAAAATAATAGGGACCTTCTCAGACTCAATGTCTTTCGATTTAGACAGATTGCAATTTATAAGAAAATTATATAGGAAAAACCTAAAAAAAAATTATATAGGAAAAAATCATACCTTAACAAGAACACAACAAAAAAGATGAAACATTTGTATAGAGTTTTCGCTAACAAACAATACAAAACCACAACAACTAAAATTATAAAATTAAATTATTTTGATCAAAATTATAATATAACATTTATCATTTGACAATACAAAACATAAGTAAACTGTCCAGACAATGTCCAGTCAGAATTCCAAGTACACCTGACCCTGCGGTGGGGGAAAAAGGACCGTATTAGGCAGAAACTGTTTTTAAATAATACATAGTATTTTGATAAGAAACATTCACTAAATAAAAAAACAATATGTATCATAGAAAAATAATTTTATTGTAATACATCTATCAGTACATTTAACTTAAAAATAATGAATTACATACAATACAGAATTTCATGATGTAGAAAAAATGGGATGAAAATGTAGTGAAAATCTTATAATCTATTTCAATTAGTGTTGAACATTATCTTTCATAAAAAAATAACTTATTGCAATACATCTATCAGTACATTTAACTTAAAAATAATGATTTACACACAATATAAAATTTCATGGTGTAGTAAAATAGGATGGAAATGTAGTGAAAATCTTATAATCTATCTCAACAAATATAAAAACTTATGAACGAAGATTTCACTTAATGGCTTCTTTTGGCCCCCCTTGCGTAATAGGGACAACTTTCTCTGATTCTGCTGGTGGCAAAGCTCTTTTTGGGGCTGTTATGGTCAAAACACCATCTGAAGACAAGCTGGACACGACATCGGCTGGTTCGTGATTTTCAGGCAGCATATATCGCCTCACAAAATGTCGTGAGATGTAACCATGTTCATCTTGCTGTTCTTCATGTTTGCCTTCCACGATTACAAAATTATTCTTAGTTTTCACAGTTATTTCTTTAGGCTTGAACTGTTGAACATCTAAAGTCACCTGTAAGGGAAAAATTATTAGTGAAATAGAAGTGAAATTTTAAATAAGAATAAATATTTATCTAATACTTACTTGAAACTTGTTTTCGTCTGCAGTGATTGTTGATGCAGAATCTTGAGCAGAAATTTCGTTTCTCCATGGTCTGTAGTATCCTCCTCGGAATAATGATGGTGTAGCATGTAAGGAGGTTAAAAGATCATTTCGATTTAGGCCCATTCCAAAATGTTGATCCATGAGCCTCATTGGATGATCGAAGTCATCCCACCAGTCGCGGAAAAACAGTGGCACGAGAGACATGTTTCCTTCGATTTTTGTTTCTTTTAAAATTAATACACTTTAACTAGCACTTCAGCACTTAATAGTCACAATTTGTTTGGCTGTTACTGTTTTCACGTATGGTCTCAATGTTTTATTTGAACTGATTCTCTCTTGAATCGAACCGTTATATATATAGCGTATAGAATATGCTCGAACCATGTGGAGTGTTCCCTTACTAGAACTTTCCCGACGATTCAGCGATCGAAACTGATACAGGTGCTAGCATAGGTTAGTAAGTATGAAGGGTGCCAGAAAGTCCTAGAACATTCCTATTGTATTGCAAAGTTCTAGAAAAAATATCATAGAAATTTCGTTCTTTAACGAAATAAGTTTAAATATAATAACGCATCTTTTGAGAATAAATTGTAATACAGTAATTACAATTCAAAGAATATTTGTAAAATCATACACATTTTTCTATTATTATAATCTCCTATGATGATGTTGTCTAATTAATTGATTTAAAAAAAAATTATTTACCAAATAAACAATTAAATTGCGATGCAAATATAAACTAAGTTGAATTATGGATACTTTGCTGATCTCTTGTCCTCAATCTCATATTTCATCAAAAAAAAAATCATTTAGATACTGTAAAAATTTAAATAAACTTAAATTGGCACAACCATGTCAAAAAGTATGAATAAATAGTTTATTATTTATTTATTTTTTACTTCGACGATTGGCTGCAAATTAACACTCAAGAATATGTCTCAACGTCAAACAAAAAAATCTTAATCTTATATATAATTTTTTAATTTATATTTAAAAAAAATTACAATAAATTCCTAAAATAAGCATCTTTTAAAAAAATCGGAATAAATCCGGACAAAATTTCTAAAGCATGCATGCCCCATTTAATACGAAAAATTTTAATTTGATGTATTATATACAAATAAACAGTATAAAAAAATCCCAAAGGGTTAGGTTAAATAATCCAGAATTATAGAATAATAATAATACTGCATAGATTTTTATGTGATTACACATAATACAATAAAAACTCAGATTAGTTACTATTTTTATATTACGTTTATTGCATTAAATATATTAACTTCTAATTTTAAGTTCTCGAAAGAGATGCAGAAAATCCGACTTTCTAATTTTATACTTTCTCGCCGTTCAAAGTCATTTGCAATCGTTTGATCTACTTATAAATATCTTGGTAAATTTATAAATTACTTAAAATAATATAATAATTTATTATTGATTAAGTCGATTATTATCACATATCTGAGAAAATTTTGCATTTAGGAAGTCTATGCAGTTTTACTAAATGCAAAATGCCACTTACACATAGTCATATTACAAATCTCATCTAGGTAAAAATCTAGTATTTGAATATTATTAGTAGATATTTTGGCCCGATCCTGCCCTTTGACAAAGGTACAAGAGTATTCGAACATTTTATAAATTCTTGCATATAATAAATAACTTTGTTAGATTACTGCCTAAATTGTTTTTAAGCGATAGACTGAACCGCATATTAGACTGCAAATTTTTTTTGACAATCAAAACTTTTAAAAATATATAATGATTTATGAAATAGCATTCAATTAACCAAATTAATCAAAATTGGAATTGGAGAAATAGTAAAAATATTTAAATTTAATAAGAGGAATCGTGGATAAAAAGATGAAAGAAATATTAAATAATTCACATGATATAAAATATATGCTACTATATGCCTAATTATTTTTTATTCATTTATGTTATCAACACATCTTAATTCAAACAATAGATGAATTGTTAATGAATTTTGATTTTGACTATTATACTGTAATGTTTATGGAGCCAAATAAATAAATAAAAAAACCTTTTGTCAATACCATATTTTTTTTAGTTCTACAGCAGAAGTACTAATTAAAACAAAACTTTAATGCATTATAAAATAATCATGTAAAATAAAGTTAATATAAAATAATCATATAAAATATGCTTTGTCATTTCAATAAAATTCTGTAAGTATTGATTTAATTTCAAATATTGATTTGAAAAAAAATTGCATTTGCATTTGTCACCAGTGTAGATAATGTATTTGAATTATAATAATATTTATATAGCACGTATTTCTCCGTATTGATAAGTTTCTGATAATAATAATATTATTATTAATCTATGCAAGCGCAAACGCACTGCACACATCAATTACATAATGCAAAAATGCAACAAACAATAATTATGTTCTAAATCTAGACAAGGTCGATTACTAATGAATTATTTGATTTAAATTGCACACATACTATAACCATTATATATATATAACTATTTTTGCTATGTGTTTATAAATGATTAATAAAATGAGAATGTTATGCTATTAATGGAAATAATAATAACACAAACTTCTTAAACAGACTATGAAACAGATATGGTCCAGATAATTATCATTTATAATGCTATAGCATTATTTTATAATGCATATCTGGACAGATATTGTAATATATATTATAATATAATTTTAATAAAGGGTTAATATATTTTTATATTAAATCTTATGTTATTTCTAGTAGTTCTGACCACTAAAAAAGAGTCAAATTGGTACTCGAAACTTTATGGATCAATTACAATTATTTTTATTATTATTTATTTATTTATAAGTGTGTGAGTGTGTAAAAATTATTTATATTATACATGTTATAAATTAGGTATGTGTCATGAAGAATTGAAATTAAAATTTTATAATACTATTTCTGATAATAATATTATTTATAATTATTTTTATTATTATATATATATATAATTATTATTTATTTATTTATTTATATGTGTGTGAGTGTGCAAATATTATACATGTTATAAATTATGTATGTGTCATGAAAAATTAAAATTAAAATTTTATAATTCTATTTCTAATTATTTTCACGATAAATCTATTTCAATCGCCTTGAAGCAAAAATAACAATCTATTTTTTAAATATTTTTATGTATATATAATTAAAATTTTAATAAGTTCTATAATTACAATGTATATTTCTATGATGCATAATTTGCAATTGTAGTAAAGTTTTCAAAACAAATATCAAATATATGGAATGTTCTAGTTGTTTCCAGAGTACTCTAGAGGGCATTCAGCCGGCGGCGTATATAAAGCCGGCCGAACTGCGTCATAACATCAGTTTACAACTAGACGAGCTAAAGGAAAGCAGCTGCTGATATATACCAAATAAAGTTTGTTTGTGAGAAAAAGTATTTGCATAATTTGGATTATTTCCACTATATCAGGTGAGTTTTAAATACATTTACTATTAGTGAAGTGTACGAAACGTTTTTTTGCGGTTGTTAATGTTTTCATGTTTTTTCGTCTCTCGTGTTTAAAATTCCAGTTGCATTTTTGGTGTTAATTGAACAAGGATTATCATACCAGAACTTTTCAAAATGTAAGTTGTTTAATTAATTTTATTTTCGATTTTCGTTACAGATTACTCATTTGAACCATGTCTCTCGTACCATTGTTGTTTCACGACTGGTGGGAGGATTACGACCACCCAATGCGTCTTATGGACCAACATTTCGGAATGGGCCTAAATCGAAATGATCTTATTACTAATCTACGGGCCACTCCTTCCCTCTTCCGTGGCGGTTATTACAGACCTTGGAGGAATGAAATTACTGCCGACGATTCCTCGTCGACCATCGTTGCTGACAAAGATAAATTCCAAGTAAGTTGACAATATCACGTTCTAACAGTTTACCTAAATAAACTGTGAACTAATTGAGAATTCTTTCCTCAGGTGACTTTAGACGTTCAACAATTCAAACCAAAAGAAATCACCGTAAAAACAAAGGACAATTGCGTAATCGTAGAAGGCAAACACGAAGAAAAACAAGATGAACATGGATATATTTCCCGTCATTTTGTTCGACGATATGTCTTGCCCAGAAATCACGATGCTGCCGATGTAGTATCTAGTTTGTCCTCGGATGGAGTATTGACCATAACAGCGCCCAAGAAGGCCCTTCCAGCTGCAGCAGAACGAGTGGTCCCCATTACCCAAGCCGGCCCAGCCAAAGAACAGGCTATTAAGAAATAAGTCTGTTTGATACAGAAGACTGAGTATTTCATTCCGATGATTCATTAATGAAGTATTATTTTTTATTTAATACACTTTATTAGTGTACGTGTTCATATATTATATATATTCAATAAACAAGTGTTTTGTAATATGTGTTTTTTTTTAATTCTACATGGGCATATGCAATTTAAATATATATGTATATTACTAATTTCAGATAAATAAAATTTTGATTTACAATTGTACATTGAAATGAATCATGCACCAGCCGCACCCAAAAATTCTAAATCATTGTACCTTTAAAACTAAAATTTAATTACATTACACAATCAAATTTGGTCAATACCTACAACGTACTTATTATTTTTTTTTTGAATTAATTTCTATTTTTCTATTAAAATAATGCGTTTTATTTGCAACAAGCTAGTAGTGCATCGCGTTCAAAGTTGCACGTAGATAATGTTTACATTGCATATGCAATGTTATCAAATAATAGAGCTCCGAACTATTAATAGCATCATTTGCATGAAGGCCACAACGATCATAATACAAGTACTAGTAAACTGTTCAATTGATCAATAAGCCGGTGGTTACATAACGTGGTACGTGCAAAATTCAGAATGTATTTTATCAATTTTCGAATGAACATTCGTGATAGCCGGTGATAGGAGTCGAGCATCAAAACTATCATTTGTAAAATATAACCTATTGTAGCATCTCCTCAAGTTTTATTGTTTTATTTTGTAAGTCAAAAATACTTATTTTTTAGGTCTGGTGTATATATCATTATACCATAGGCAACATTTGCAACATTCCCAGGTGCTGGATTTACAGTAACGGTAGTCAGGGCTAGTACCCTGAGCGGCAAAACTTGGGAATTTATAAAAAAAAATTATATCTATGCGTAGAATGAGTATCTAATGCGTGATATTTTTTTGCAATCAATAGTTATTTTAATGAGAAAAATGAGATTTCAAAAATGGGGCTTCATTTTTATCAGAGCTCCAGGGCGTCAAATTTTTAAATCCGGCCCTGAACATACCATTTCAGTCTATTTTGCAAAGTTACTATTACTATTCAAAATGGGTAAATAATGAGAACAGTTGCATTGTTATAATTTGCAAATAACAGAACAAAATATGATATAATTTAATTAAATTCAATTTATATTATATACACCACCCTACCCACCCATGTGGCGTCGTGTAAAAAACACAACAAATTTAATTAAAATTTTCTATAGCACAGCATGTAAAAATCGAAAGTTAGGATTACTGATTTAAAAAAAAAGAACAAAATAATTTTATAAGAAATAAAAATGAAGTAACAATTCGCAATATTTACGAAAAAGACTAGCTAACTAAAAATATATGTAATAAATTTGGAATAAACTTTGCTGGCAGTTATAGTTGTCCTAGGTCGGCTTTGTAGACGTGCAACTGAGCTAATTTTTTAACGTAAATAAAGTTTCTTGTCGAAATGGGTTTTCTTGGGTAAAACCTATTTCCGCAGTCACGATAGTTTTAAAAAAAATGTCCATACCTTCCTCAATTAAACACCACTGCTTAATATTGATATGGATGGTTCAATTTTGTTCTTCAAAGATTTAAATTCTTCATTAACAAGCAATTAATTTGTCAGTCTCCAATTCACAATTTCAAAAACTTGGTAAAAAAAAATGAATAACTGGAGACCAAAACAACGCAAGTTCCAAAATGTAACGAAGCCCAGTAAAAATTTAGTATTAATAAAGCTGCCGCGCAACTTACAATTAGTAAAAAACGCAACATAAAAGTATGGGTATATATGCTGGTAATCAATTTTATATATTTGAAAAAAAAAACTTTGTATAATTATGATGATTTTTTATTAAGCAGTATCAAATAAATATTTTGAGTGCAAGTCTTGTTTTTGTATTAATATTGAGACAATATGATAATACCAAGTACAGTAAGCTATTCATTGTTTTTTAATATATACATTGCTCCTTAATTTTAGTTCAAAAACAATTACTGTATATACGAAATTTTGTATGAGTGATTTGGTTTCGGATTTTACTTCATAAAGTTGGCATAAGTCAACTTATTAAGTTGACTTTGTTTTGGCATTCTGCATCGGACTCCTCTGACTGTGATTGTTTGGCGTACAACAAGAGCACAGCAGCATTTGAATAAATCATTTTATAATTCAACTAAAATAACATATAAAATAATTTACAACATGACCATGTAATTTTATGCACTTCTAGAGCATCTGTGTCAAATTACAACGCTTGCACTTCAAATAATTAAAAAGGAACATTTAAAAAATATATTATAAAATTTTACAATGCGCCTAAGTGCTAATTGGATTTGTAGTAATAAACAAAATCGGAAAAAATAAGATCTATTATAGAAAATATAAATATTTTTTTACCAAATTGATTTACTGTTAATTACATTATTACCATAATTAAATTACCATGATTTATAAAAATTAAGTATATTAATTTTTATATGTAGAATATGTTTATGTTGGATTCCTCTAAAATGACTTCGTTTTTCACAAAATTTCTTTTACCACTAGAGTTAAAAATAATTATCCAAGGGTTCGAACGGATTTTATGAGTCCTACCCGTTTTTCAGAACGTGGTACATTTTTGATATTAAAAATTTTAATATTATGCTTATTTTTCACTATAATTAAGAAAGCACTAACCGAAAATTGTGTAAAATCTATAAAGGTCTATTACACACGCCGTGCTGTATTGACTTGGAAAACGTCTAATAGTTGTTAAAACTTAAATTATGTTCAAAAATACAATTCAAAACTCTCTCAAAAATTCTTTGTGTTAGTAACTGCCTAATAATTTCAAGAGATCAAGAAATATAATTTGTACCTTAGATAAGAAATATATAAATATGGATGGAGCCAATTAATTATATATACTATAACATATTATAGTATTTATTAATACTAATATTTTAGTATTTGAATTCAATAATAATATTGTAACAAATAATTCTATATTTTACAATATTTTAAATTTATATTTTACAAAAACATTGGAATATATTTTTAAAATGATGTTATTTTCAGAAGGGGTAGACTTATAATTTATAAGTATGTAAATTAAAACATCTTTATACTGTAAAGTAATAAAATGCATCGCAAAAAGTAAATATAACAATTTATGGATTCGGAAAAGAAGGTCAACCCTTGTCCTGCGCATATGATTCGATTTTCCAGTGTCTTTAAAACATCCAGTAACGCTACTAATTTTGAAATAAATCAAATAACTTACCCAGTTCAATTAAATTATAGAAAGTGAAACAAAAATTTAATAATAAAAATCACTATAATAAACATTTTGAAGTAAGTCAATTTAAATCCAGATTCATATTGCAACCAGAAAACTTAGATATATCCAAGCTATTTCGGATGTTTCGATTATCATTTTCCAACCATATTTATTTCTAGACAATTCATTCGAAAGTTTAATTTTAAGTTAATTTCGATTAAGTTAAGATTAATTTCTAAAGTTTAATTATCCGCCCTTTGGTTTGAACAACTTGGGTATAGGAACACGCTGTGCGCATATATAAAGTGAAAATGCAGTTGCATCGCGCATTCCTTGCAAACGGTTGCAACTTGTTACAGAACATTTCATTAAAAAGTTAAAAATATATTATTTCTGAGAAGTAGAAGTTATAGGTAAGAAATCTAATATTTTAATATATTGTATTGCTACATTTCATTTAACGGTTTAGTCGTTCTTTTAGAGGAGACGCGTTCCAACGAATATACGTATATACACGCATAGGTTTGTATATATATTCGGATATTAATTTTGAAGTTAAAGATATATGTATAAAATCTTAGGAGACTTAACATCAAACCAAAAGGTAAAATAATTGTGGAGATTATTTATTTTTATACGTTTCGACACATGAATTCGATATCATCCTTATAGTAAATAGAAACAAATTGGAAAATAAGCATTATAAACTCCATTATTATTAATAAATATAACGTAGGCAGTTGTCTCATAATATTGTACTAAATTTATTAAAATTAAAATTATTATAACTATACAAATTCTCTGAAAATATTCTCTTTCATTTTTCCTTCAATATATTACGTCTTCTACTATTGTACTTCCATTATTTTTTTTACATGTACTATAAGTATGTGCTGTACACTCATACATTAATGATATTATGATATCACAATTTTTCTATAGTGATTTGTATAAAAATGTTTCAATTTTATATTTTGTTCTTCCTAGTAAATCTTTTATAAAATCGTACCTTAAGGCAAATTGCTGATGTAACTTCCCGTACCGTAACGAAATGTTCGAGAAATATTAAATGTTTTCAAATTGATTATTATAAATACTGTAATATTGTCTAATATTTATAACAATTAAATAAACTTAATTATAAAGTTAAAATTATTTATTTAAAGAATATAAGTGAGCTTTAGAACTTTAGCTAGATAAAAAGCCATTAAAAATAGCCATTAAAATTAAAATCTGAATTATTTTCGATATGCAAAAAAAATGTTCAGAAAAAATGCGAACAAAGCATAGATATACATCCATATTTTCTGAGGTATGCCAAAATGTTCAGAAACCTCTGAAACGTGAAGATATATAAAAAAAAATCATTTTCGATTTTCGGCCCATTACTATAACGGGAAGTTTAAAAAATATACAAATTAAACAACATTACAAATATTTTGTAATTATTTTAGAATTGCTGAATTATAGCATAATATCAAACCACAAAAATAAATTGAATATTATTAATTATATAGAAATTAAATCTTAAATCTTATATTAGTCAATAATGCAAATATTAGTTTTATTGATGAAGGTAAAATATGCTCGATTTCTAAACGTTTTTCATTTATATTTATAAATAGCAGAAAAATATTTATAATAATCATTATAACTAATTATTAACATTTATTAACGCACAATATTAATTGTTATTAATTGTTTCTGACACAGTTCAATTTAGAAATGTCTTTGGTACCCTTGTTATTTCACGATTGGTGGGAGGATTATGACCACCCAATGCGACTTTTGGATCAACATTTCGGAATGGGTCTGAATCGAAATGATCTATTAACTTCCTTACATGCTACACCATCATTATTTCGAGGGGGTTACTACAGACCCTGGAGAAGTGAAATTTCCGAACGTGGGTCCTCTTCCACCATAAAAAAAGATAGCGACAAATTTCAGGTGTGTAAAAAATTAACTATTTTATCAAACATAAGAAATATCATCAGTATAAGCTGATTACATTGTTTTAATTTTTTTTCTCTATGAAGTAATTCAAGACATACTAATCATAATCCATCCGACAGATTACCTTAGATGTGCAGCAATTCAAGCCCAATGAAATAATGGTCAAAACTAAGGATAACTACGTAATTGTAGAAGGAAAGCATGAGGAAAAACAAGACGAGCATGGATTCATTTCTCGTCATTTTGTGAGGCGTTACATGTTGCCAAAAGGTCATGAATCGGCTGATGTAGTGTCCAGTTTGTCTTCAGATGGAGTACTAACTATAACTGCCCCAACAAAAAATATCCCGCCGGTGGATAATGAACGTGTTGTTCCAATAACACAATCAGAAACAGATAATGAAACAAAAGCAGAAGCTGAGGCAAACTAAGTCTATTTTACAATATGGATAATGCAGGAAAAGAATAAATGTTAGATATTTCCTTCCCGAGATAAATATAGTATCACCACCCTCTACAAAACTCTCTTGACATAAATGAATACACATTTAACAGGAAATACTAAACATAAATGTGCCCCAACAGTATTATTTTATTTAACAGAACGTTATTCATGAATATATTTTAAACTAGAGAAATTATGTTACAGAATATTATCAAAAAATCGTGGTTAAAAGATTATTTCAATAAGAATTGATTTGTTGTTCTAAATTAATTAATTTATTATTAATTATTTATCATATATTAATTTTTAAATTCAAATGTACTATGTATTTTAATTATTCATTGCTTTAGTCTTCAAATTGTGTATAAATATAATGTAACTTAATGCTATTTTAATTACGTATATTTCACAAAATAAATTGTTTGAACCTTATTAAAGCATTTCAACATTATTCAATTAAATATAACTTATAAAATGTACTACCATATTTCACATTGTTTTACGTTTGCATTTTTGGGTAACTTTCAGGTATAGAGTGAATAAGTTTATCTAATAATTCAAACCTTGATATTTCGTCTAAATTATCAATAAGTTTCTGAAGAGGTTCTCCTCCTTCCATAAAAACTTTAATATTATGAATATTATATGAAAGTCTATGATCTGTAATACGATCTTGGTTATAATTGTACGTACGAATTTTTTCATTTCGATTACTAGCCCCTACCTGTAATTCATATTATTTTAATTTCTAATATGATGAAAAGCAAACTTATTTAAAAATAAAAATATCTTACTTGTGATTTTCTCATGTTTTTGGTGGTAGTCTCCTGTGATGTAATTTGTTGTTCATATAGTTTTGTTCTAAGTTTATCCATGGCTATCTCTCGATTCTTAATTTGAGATCGATCTGTTTGGCATTCAACAGCTATACCTGACGGAATATGAACAATTCTAACAGCACTATCAGTTGTATTCACATGCTGACCACCAGCTCCACTGGCTCTTTTAGTCTCAATTTTGAGATCTTGATTTTTTATTTGGATATCAATCTAAAATAAACTTATTTTCAACATAGTTAAATTATGCATTATTTAAAATCTGAAAATGTCTTACAGGGTTTGGTTGGGGCAAAACAGCAACTGTTGCTGTACTTGTATGAATTCGTCCTGATTTTTCAGTGGCTGGATTTCTTTGTACACGATGAACACCTCCCTCAAAATTCATATTTCTATAGGCCCCATCGCCTTCTACGAGTAAACCAGCATGTCTGATACCACCCAGTTCAGATTCATCAAACTCTGCCAGACGATAGTCCCAACCCTAAATCATTATTATAAAACATTAAATATAAAAAATATGAATAGAAGCTATGGTAATTTGGAAATAATTATTTTTAATATACCTTATAATTTATATATCCGCAATACATATCAAATAATTCTCGTGCAAATAACATAGCTTCTTTTCCTCCTACGCCTGCAGTTATCTCTATCATTATTTTATTAACATCACTTCCGAAAGGTTTTGGCAAAATAGCTAATAATAATTTGCTCTCAATTTGTTTTAATATATTCTCATACACCTAAATAAAGATACTAAAACATGTTGACATAGTATATTTTATTTCATTTTTAGTGTTAATTAGAGTACCTGTCTTTCTTCGGCTATCAATTCTTTCATATCTTTATCTTCTTCATCTTTAGAATTAATATCATCTAAATTTTTTAGATTTCCTTCGACACATTCTTTTTCCTCCAATATTTTCATAACTGGCAATAACTCATCTAATCTTATTCTCGCTTTATTATCTACATTTTCTGAGGTATATAAATTCCAGTATTCGTGCTTTATAAATTCTAGATATTTAACTACAGGAGCACTTTTTATTGTAAAATTGTATGACTTAAAACTAGAGTTTCGAATATAAGTTTTATTCACAACTCTTTTTGAAACAAATGTTATTAACGATTTGGATACATTTCTACATATATTTTTATACATAATTATTTGTTTTTATTATATTTGCTTATGATAATGTTCATAAATGTATTTAAAATAGGTTTCAAACGCATTATCTTTAAAAGAGGTTATGTGCACAAATTGGGCTATCCATCTGTCACTGACTGAACATGTGATCCTGGTACATTTACACTTAATTCCAAATCGCTTCAAAATTTGAATTTCCTAAAATATTGTACATAAATAAACCATATGTAAATATGCAGATAAAACTCATTTTAAGTTCAAGTGTTTTATATTATTTCATTTCAAAATCTTATAAATATCTTCAAAAGTCATCTTATACAAATAGTTTTTATAACAATATATAAAATTTATCTATATCTTTAACATAGATTTTAAATTGGATATAAAACTTTAAATGCATAAAGCATAAAAATAATATAAACCTTTATTGAAAGGATATAAAAAACATCCATAGATATTCTATGCACAAGAATATAAAAAATAAACATGTCAAAAATTATTCATCTTACTTTTAATTTGTCATCTTTTCCATTTAATTTTATTTTTCTAACTTATCATTTTGTTCTTGTTTATAATTACAAACAAATTGTCTGTATAGACTAAAGCGAGAACATTATCTAGGATTTCATTTCTTTATTCCTAGGAAACATAAGCCACTTCCTTGAGACTGTCCATTAAAAATAATAACGCATAGACCATTTGCAGCCATATTTGTCCACACATCAATAATCCATTGATCCAATTCACCTAAAGTTTTTTCTGCTGCCGGATACTGTAAATCGTCATTAGGTATATGCAAATGTGCAAGGCTAAATTTATATTTGGTGCAGTTATTGCATAATTCTTTTACAATATCTTTATTGGTGTTACAGATCTCAAATCTTGCATTTTGAACCTTAAACTTATTCAAATACTGATTATAGTCAAATGCAGTATCTCTTGAACTAACAACTATGGTATCTTTCAAAATATGATCCTTGTTGTTACCACTTTTAGAATTACTGCGAGCATAATTTGTTTCAGATCTTCTCAAACCGTAAAGAACAGAGTCTCCAAAATCTAAAGATTTATCAAGTTTGAGTTGAGCTAGTTTTAGAGAGGCTAAACTATCTTCAGCAGAATTATGTCCACTCGAATCTTGCTGAATAACTTCACCCAAAAATTTCTTTGTAATAGTTCGCAGCTTTGATTTTCTTGACCTATCTCCAGTTATATTAAATATAACACTAGTATCTATGCAATAAGGATGCATCATTTTTAATGCTTTTAAATCACAGTTCAAAGAATGGCCAATGAGTATAGCATCATCAGGTAAAATTCTTCTTAGATCTCTTTGTACATCTTCAAGTCTAGTTGTAACATTTCTCAACATTGCTTCTGTTATGCCAGAATATTTAGTTAAGTAATCTGTAATTCTACTATATGGCTTAACTAATTTATCATAAATAATTTCATGTTTTTCGTTAACAATTGTTATTCTGGTCAACTCCGATAATTCATTTTGTGTTCGACACATTTCACAATCTAATCCAAACATAGGGGATGATGAACTTATCTCAGAATACAATTCTTTGGTCAAGACATAATTTTTATACTTTCTGCAAAGTTCTCCTTTCAAAGGAAGAGGATAATTATCCTCTACCATCTGCCAAATAGACATAAGTAACAGTTTTCTAGAATATTTATCAGTTGCTGGTATAGAATTATGAACAGTGTTCATGTTAGATATCCTTATAGGGAAAATTGCTTTAATCATTGTCATATTATCAATGACATTTTGAAAAGTCTCTTCTAGACTACCGTGATCGTTGATCAATTTATCTTTATGAAGGTTTATGTGGGGCAAAGCAGCTAAATCTTCTATTAAATTGTTATGATTGGGGGTTATAACTTCAATTTTGTTTTCAAAAAGCACTGAAAGTCCTTTCAGCACAGATTCATATGATGTAAAATGATATAAAGAAATACCTTCTATGGCCAGTACCACTGTATGTGAAACATCACTATATTTCTCCAGTTGACACCATCGTGATGGCAGATAAGTATGCCGTCCCATAATAGAAAATAATATTAATTGTTGAATATCTGTCATAAATAATGGAACTCTTTTGTCATATTGAGTGATTAAGGATGCTTTTTCACCTGTGGCTTTTAAACGAAATCTGATTGCTGATTTAGATCTCTGTTTTATATTTCTGTATTCTGATTTTAACTCTGAGTAGCTACACTCCACTTTATTAGATTCTGTATCAATAACTTTCAATTCACATTCACTTGTTAAATGTTGAAAGTCAAATGTAGTTTGTGCTAATCCTTCATCTGAATCCAATAAATTTGGTCGCTTTTTCTTGCATAATGGTTGATCACTAGATGTATCACAGTTCATTGATTCTTGTTTTTGTATTTCAACTGCAAATTTTGGTTGGCTATCAATGTCATTTAAGCGTGAAATTTCAACTAAAGCTGCCATTTTTTTCTTTTTCTTCTCATGTCTAGTCTTCTGTTTTGGAGTAAGGTGGTTCATATTTAAACTTAAAGATATTGATAACATTGGTGGTTTCTTGAATAATCTGCAAAAAAATACATTTATTATATAAAACAAAATAAGATTTATATTGTCATGATATTCAAAAGTCAACCTGGGAGAATTTAAACTATTAAATGATAAACCTAAATATTTTAAGGGAAAAGTTTGCATAAAACACTGTTCTATCATTTTTTTATTAATGTAAAAGATGAAACTGAAAATTTTTAAAACACTAGTTACTCAGAAACGAAGCAACTGTGATTTATAAATAAAAGTTAATCATACCTAATCAAAAGTATCCATAGAAATAGCATAACCGCTAAAAAACGTAAAGCTCAAAAATATAAAGAAGAGAATTTGTTAAATAAAAACTGATATTTTTGTATATATCATATTGATGAATTAATCATAGTATAAATATTAAATACTCACTGCTTTCCCTAGAAGTCCTCCAATTCATGTCGATTTATATTTCACTTTTACTATTATTATTATTTTACTTTTAGTTAGTCAATAAATTTTTAATAGTACTAACATCCAATAGATTTTTTTAATAATACTAATTATTATCGTTAAGAACTGAATGTTATTATTAAAAAAATTATTTCTTATGCCATTAAAGTAAACTTAACAGTTGTCAAAGACATGTCATGTGAACTGTCAATTAATGTGTTCGTTGTTCTTTTTGCTTGGCTTTTGATACTTTTGCATTTTAATGAAATATTAAGAAAAAAATAAGATTACACTAATTATTTAGTAATTGTATTATTTTAGTATGTCTCATTCTTCATTTGACTTAAAAAAATAGTAATTACAATATAACCAATTCAAAAAACACAGAATGAAGAAATGCCACAAATGTGAAAAGCCAGTTTATTTTGGTACACAAATATTATGAGATAATCATAACGTGGAATAATAATAATAATCATAAGAATTCTATTTATTTTAGCCGAACGTAGACAATCTATAGGATATGATTGGCATCCTGAATGCCTGAGGTGCCAGGAATGTGGAAGGAGACTAGATCCAGGTCAACATGCAGAGGTATGTTTTATTAGATTTATGTATTAATTATTCATATATAAATTTTGCACATTTAAATCATGAAATTCATATTTTAAGTAGCATTTAAAGATCTGCTCATGTTTGATGCTTCGCAGAATTTTATTTGATATCGTAAATAAAATAAAACAATTTAAATATAATCTTATTCAAACCAAAAACTTTTAAATAAATATTTGTAGGATCTGTAGTTGAAGTTCATTGTGCAGTAATTAACATTTGAAATTTAACAGTAACTAATTATAAGAGGTTTTCTAGAAATTTATATGCATATATAATAATATATATTATAAAAGATATCTTTACGGCTTTGTGGCTTTGACCACAACACTTCAATAAAAGAATTCGGAATACCTTCTCTTACCACATATCGATTTATCTGTACAATTATGTTCTTATTTAAACTTTGCAATAATGCTATAGACTGTCCTCTTATTCTTAACCAACTATCCTTTAATGTTCCTAGGCTATCTTTGCGTTCACAATTATTTTTCAATTATTCTACTCCTAAATTTAATTCCCTCTTAAATTCGCATATTCTACTTATGTCCGCTAACTTTAACATAATTAATAATGAAATAGATATTCATAACACTTCACCTAATCAAGTAATCTCCATTTGCTCAAGTTAACCTTTTTATTTCTTTTCAAATAATTTTCAATATTTTATCTTATCTTTTCAATATTTTAAATAAATAATATTGTTACATTCTGTATTATGTAATTTTGTGTTAAGTGCATTATTAATTTTACTATATACTGTAATTTTGTATATATATATATATTAATTATTTTGTAAATAATCCATAATGTAAAATAATTGTATTTTTAAGTCCTCTTGGAAGAAATCTGTGGGCTATGCATTTAAAAAATAAATAAATATATATATTATGAAAATCCTTTGCAATATCTGTACTTCAAATATGAGATGAAAATTGCAGAATAATTCTTTTTATTTATATTAGTGTTGATTATTTCATTATCTAATTTCATTTGTCTCTAAATATCATTAGCACAAAGGAGTACCCTATTGCCATGTACCATGTTATGCTGCATTATTCGGCCCTCAATTGTTTGGACATGGTACAAGAGTTGAATCTCACAAAAGTTTTGGTCAGAAAGGACCCATTCGTTCTAATAGCACTGCCCTACTTCCGAGAACACATTTAGAATCAAAGTTAAAGGTGAATATTATTAATGTTTGGGGTTATTTGCATCAAACTTTGAGAAATTTCAATTTAAATTGATTTATTGTAGGTTTTCAATCAATTCCATGAAAATATTGGGAAGAGTGGTGAAGTTCGAAGTAGAGAAGTTAATGGTCGATTAGTTCTAGAAGGATCATTAAGAGTTTATTGGGGTGTTCAAGCTGTGATTCATTTGAAGGAAGATGTTGATCAACGTACTCTAGTCACAAGGGGTCGTGCAATAGAAGTAGAGGTAGTATTTCTTTCTTAGATTATAAAATTTGCTTATTTCATAAAATAATAATTATTTTAAAATTTATTGGGACAGAAAATGATATGTTGGCATATACTTTTTGCAGTCCTCTGATATAGCTTATTAATTAATATTATATATAGCTTATCACTTAATTATATGTACAAACAAAAACTGTATAACATAATTTCTAATGCAATACTTATTCTAAATATTTACATCTTTAGAATAAATTAGATGCTGCCGAAAATTCAAATTTGGATAAGAATCTCGATTCTGGTATTTCATCAATGAGCTCTACAGAAAATACCTCTTCCGAGGACAATTCTGATGCATCAAGTGAACAATCAAGTCAATCATCAGAAAGTTCCTTGTCGCCTTCACAAAAGTGCCTTACATTACCGCCAAAATTAGATATAAAGCAAATAGATTGGGATGAGTTGGACGAACTTTTACAAGTTGAGAGAGTTGTGGATGATTCTGACAAGATATATCAAACTATGCCAAATAAGCCAATGCATACATCTGACATAGAGAAGCCAAGCAAAGTTCAGCAAACAGATCCAATGGATTCTATGTTTAATTTAAGTAGAAGTATGATTGAAACTACTGATAAAAATGACAGCGATGATATTGTAGTACAATTCAGTAAAAGTTGTGATAAAAGTCCAAGACCTATAGACCCGTCTCGTATTAATGATTCTCTCAAGTTATATACAGAAAGTGTTAATAAAAATAATAATTTATCAGATGTGTATGTGAAAAGAGATATACAACAAGAGGTTTTGAATGAAAATGTAGCAAATGAAAAATTAGCTGCAGCAGCATTGTATGATTCAGATGATGACGATAAATATTATATGAAAAATGAATCTAATAATAGCGATAAATCCTCAGAAGAATATATCAGAAAGAATAGAAGCACAGCTATCAAGAGACGATCGGGTAAAAGAAGGTAGGTAATCATTGCACAGACAAAAAACTTTTCAATACATACTTAAATATAATAGATATTTATGTATGTATTTAAATACTGTTAAAATAATTTGGTTTTATATTATAGAATTTCATATAATTTAATCTTATTAATCATCTTTTAGATCGAGAACAAAATTGCAAAGAAGATGTTCTATAAATGGACATTTTTATAACAGAGAAACAAGCTTTTTTACACCACCTCATGGTTCACAAATGAATGTTTGGGTTAGCTCTTTGCTTGATACTCGGGCTGTGATATCATTACTATTGGATAAGTATAAAGTGGATTCTAAACCAGATAATTTTGCATTATTTGTAGTGAGAGATAATGGAGGTAATTTCAGTTTTAAATTAAAAAAAAATATTTCCTTTTTTTAAAGTTAGATATATAGTTAACTTGTATTGAATTTTCAATATCAGAGCAAAAACGTTTGGCTGCCAATGAATCACCATTGGTTAGAAGAATTTTGTTGGGGCCTCATGAAGATGTTGCTAGAGTATTTTTAATGGATAGTGTTGCTCGTGATATCACACCACAAGTCGCCCAATTTTTGAATTTGAGTATTGCAGAATGTAAAGCAATCTTACAACAGTATGATGCTGAAGAACAGCGAGAAATTGCACGTATACAAGAAAGGTAAAATAATAAAAATAAAATTACTTTTATCAAAAAATATATATTAAATATTTTTGATATTTTAGGTACAAAGAATTAAGTAGAAGGATATTGCAACGTATGGAAACTCTAAAAGTTCGATTATAAATATTTGTTGCAATATTTGTAAAAATATCTATAAAAATATATTCATTTTTCTACTAAAACCACATATTAGATTTTCACGTGCACAAAGAGCATAATCTCATCTTTATTATCATATTTTTATATACATTTTCAAATGAATTTTTGATATTTGTAAATTATTTGATAATATCCTTAATACTCATATGTTATAAAGTATGTTTACTTCTAATTATATTAGTCATTCTTTCTGAATTCTATTGTATTGTATTGACATTCTATTTTGTTTTTTATACTAATATACATTATAAATTTTAAACACTTTTATATAATCACACATTGACAATAAAATAAACAAATCAATAACAATTTTGATATATTGTTTAAGATTAATATAATTCAGGATAAAAATTGTAAATTTGAATTTTTAATAAAACATTTTTCATTAATTTCATTTATAACTTTCATTAAATGAAATCTAATATATAAAATAATCTTAAATTATAATTCTATGAAAATATAAAATTACTTTAAGTATTGTGAAATGTTTTGTTATAGAAAGTAAGACACAGTTGATTTAGTAAATGTAAGGCAAATAATAGTCTTATATTTTAATTAAAGTTTTTTTGTTTTTAATTAAAATTAAAGTTTTTAGTCTTTTATTTTAATTAAATAATTTATTTATATATTAGTCTAGACATATTTCTACTAAGAGAGTTAGTTATATTTAAAAAAAAAATGTTGGTATGATGAGCTGAAAATTATTTTTAACTTTCCGGAAAGGTTTATGTTTTCGCCAGAAAATCCGTTTCAAGTTATTCTTATCAAAAAACGTTTTCTCTACGTTTTAAGTCATTGTTATTTGAATGAGGCACAGTTTGAAAAAGTGAAAAGCTGATTTTTGACTCAAAAACGGTTTTGCCGAAATCAGTAATTTTAAAGCCATTCGAAGTAACTGGATTAGGACTAGAGGACTAGATAAATTACCGTAGAGTAAGTTATATAGTAATCTCAAAAAAATCGAAAATGAAAATTTTTATATATCTACATTTCAAAGGTTTTTGAACATTGTAGAAAAAAATGGATGGATGTGTGTGTGTGTGTGCGGATACAAATGCCACTTAACTAGTTTGTTTACAAATTCCTACGTGGCAACACGTAACGGACATTTCTGCACTCATCACTAGGGTTGAATTTGTGTAATCTAACCTAAAATATTATCTCTAAATAAAGATCGAGTAAAGAAAATCAAGTAAATGATTTTCAAAAGAAAACAAAAACAATGGGAAAGAAATGAAAATAATAAAATCAAGAAATAACAAAGTAAAATAAGGAACTTTATCTTTATTTTTAATATTCAATAATTTTTTATCAATAGATTGACAATTTGCAAATGACGAGAAATTAATTTATTTATATTTAGTCAACATGCGTCGTCAAGAACGTCGAAATCCTTGGGGTACTAATACGAATAAAAAACCAGCGAATCTTTCGTTGGCAAAAAATGCCGAAAAAAAATTTTTGGAGTCCCATCAGAAATTATCAGCAGCTATCGAAAAACATGTATCTTATGATGAATCTTCTGAAGAGGAGGAATTAGAATCAGATAAAATATTAGGTTTGGTTTTTTAATAAATGTATATAATTAGTATTTTGGAGTATTAGCATATGTTATTTTACTTTGTGCCCTTTTATCATGAATACAACTTTTATTTTTGCATTAATATATATATATATATATATATATTATCTTTCAGATCAAGTTTTGAAAAGTTATGCAAATATCGGTGGTTCATCAAAAGATCTGGGAAGAACTGAAGTGTTTTTGAAAGAGGCATTTTTATCCAATGCAGCTATTTGTCTTATTTGTATATGCTCTGCTAAACGTACTGATAAAGTAAATATTTTAGCATTTATTTATAGCATATCATACTGTGTGCTAAATTTAGTTAACATAAATAAAATTTATAGATTTGGAGTTGTCATGGATGTTATTCAGTTTTCCATTTGACTTGTATACAACGATGGGCAAATGACAATTTATTTCAACAAAGAAATTTACAAGAAGAAGGAATCTATAACCAGGAAAAAGCTACCATTCAATGGAGTTGCCCTAAATGTAGATTAGATTACTCTTCAAATGAGGTACGTCCTTAGATTATAAAAATAGTATCTTGATTAATTCAAATTGTATGTTTATTTTAGGTTCCTAATAAATACACATGCTTTTGTGGTGCTGTAGCAAATCCACCACCACATCCTTGGTTGGTACCACATTCTTGTGGAGAAACATGCAACAAACCATTTGAACCAAATTGTGGGCATAGTTGTTTGTTACTCTGCCATCCAGGTTGTAAAATAATTCATATATGATATATTCCTTTTGAAATATTTACTTAAGTATTGAAATGTATAACTAATATTCCACATTTGAATTTTAGGACCATGTCCACCATGTCCTAAAACTATAAAAGTTACCTGCTATTGTGAACAATCTAATCCAATCCCAATTCGATGTTCTGTTGGTCGTTGGAATTGTACATCAAAATGCCAAAGATTATTATCTTGCAAAACACATAAATGTGAAAAACCATGTCATGAAGGAAAATGTCCACCTTGTCCTAAAGAAAGTTTACAAAAATGCTTGTGCGGTCTTCAAGAAGTTGTCAGGCGTTGCAGTGAAGAATTTTGGCAGTGTGAAAATGTAATGTAAATCTCACGAAAAAAATATCCAGTTATGCACAAATATGCATATATTTATATAATCATTATCACATAATATATAACTAATACTTCTAGGCTTGTAATAAAAATTTATCTTGTGGTTTGCATAAATGTGCACAAAAATGTCATAGTGGTGACTGTGATGCTTGTCCAGGAACATTACCTAGAGAATGTCCATGTGGAAAACAGTTAGTAACTTTGGCATGTTCAGAAGAAGTATTACCTTGTGGTGATACCTGCGGAAAACTCCTTTTATGTGGACAGCATTATTGTAATCAAAGATGTCATAGAGGAGATTGCAGTACGGTAATATTTTGAAATGAGGTTAAATTTTTGGTGTATATTATGTTGATCTGATTTTGGTTGACCATTCTGACTTGTTCCTTTTCTTCATTTTTTATTAATATATGTTTTCAGTGTTTGGTGGTTATAGAAAAATTATGCCGATGTGGCTCCAATAGCAAAGAATTGCCTTGTCAGAAAGAACACCTTTGCAATACAAAGTGCAGAAAAATGCGTGATTGCGGAAATCATGTTTGCAACAGAAAAGTAAGTTTCAATATTTTGAAATATATATATATATATATATATATATATATATATATATTACGGTGGTCCTTAAAATGGTCATTTTCGAATTTCCTTGCTCCCAGGGGCTCAAATGGTTCCAAATAGATAAAAAAACAATTCTCTGAAAGTTTTAGCTCTTAATATTAATTTATTGTACGGAAAGCATGAAAAATTTTTCAAAAATTATAAAAATGTTTTTTAGATGTAATTTAGCGAACAAATAAATGAATAAAACTCATTCATTTGTCGCTAAGTTATATCTGTAACATTTTTTTTTAATTTTCAAAATTTTTTCTATGCTTTTTCTATACAAACTTTGATTAAATTACGCTCTATCTAAACGTTAATGTTAAGAGCTAAAACTTTCAGAGAATTGTTTTTTATCAATTTGGAACCATTTGAGCCCCTGGGAGCAAGAAAATTTGAAAATGACCATTTTAAGGACCACCCTAATATATATATATATATATATATATATATATATTCATTTGTTTCTGCTTTTGTTTTAGTGCTGCGAAGGTATTTGTCCACCTTGCAATAAACCTTGCGGACGTACTTTACGATGCGGGCAACATAAATGTGAATCACGGTGCCATAAAGGGCCTTGTTTTCCATGCACAATAGAGGCTACGGTTTCTTGTAAATGTGGAAAAACAAAAGTGAAAGTCCCTTGTGGTCGAGAAAAAAAAACTCGTCCTCCTCGTTGTACTCACTTATGCAAGTAAGTTCAAATATATATAAATAAATATAATTTTTCTATATAAAATAAAATTATATTTTAATACGTTTTCAAATATTTTTAATATAAAATAGTGCTTAATATATATTTGTTTTTCTAGATTAGATCCTGTCTGTAATCATAGGTCTCTTGTACCGCATCGATGTCACATGGGCCCTTGTCCAAAATGCAAATTGCCTTGTGGAAATGTTTTAAATTGTGGTCATGTTTGTGAGGTTCCATGTCATACAGCTGTAACCGTTACAGAAAATCAAGTTGAGAATCCTATAGGTCCTTGGGAAGCTAAACAAATAGTAGGTGTTTTAAAATGAATAGACAACTAACATAGTTATAAGTAGCATTTTGTCTTAATGTAAGTCGCATTAATTTTTCGATTTGTGTACATAATGAACTTTATCAATCAGAATTGAGATTCAGATATTCAGATCAAATTTTCAATTGTTAATTTTCAAAATAAAAACGATTTCCAATTAATGTTATTCAGGGATACTTATAATATCTATCTTCTATATATATAAAAATAAGTTGGGTTTTCCTTCCTGACGAAACGAACCGATTTCGACAATTTTGCATTCGTTGGAAAGGTCTCGGAATCCGCAAGGTTTATAGCTAAGAAAATTAGTGGTGCATGGCATTGTGCCCTAATGCAAATTGCTGGAACTTCACGCACCGTAATTAAAAATTTGAGTAATGAAAATAATCAACAATTGTTTAAAATAATTTCAAATAGATTATCTACATATATATATATATATATATATATATACATGTATACACATATATACATATATACATGTATATACATATATATACACATGTGTGTTGAACCGTTGAACCGTGCGGACGTGTTTTTTGAAGTGTCGTAATGTCTCTGACACAATTAAATATTTTGGAATCGGATTCCAAAAAAACCTACAACTGCTGTGAAACAAAACCTTCTGCAAGTGTGGGTGTTTGTAAGAACTGTGGCAAAATTTACCATGTGAGTTGTGCCACAAGAAAAGGTTTTAAATTCATTGTTGGAAATTTGATACAGTGCTGTGAGGTGAGCAGTGAAGTGTCGAGTGACAAACATA